ATGACGTTTTTTTTACCTTTTTAAGTCTTACTATACTATGACGTATTTATGACATTTTTATGGGTTACTATACTATATAATTTTTTGGCATTTTTATGACTTACTATACTCTGTTGTTCTATGCCTTAGCATACTATGTTGTTTTTATGACTTTTTATGCCATAATAAACTATGATGTTTTTTTGATGTTTTATGCCATACTATACTATGACGTTTTTTGTCAATTTCATGCCTTCCTATACTATGAGGCTTTTTTTTAATTTTTATGACTTACTATACTCTGTTGTTCTATGCCTTAGCATACTATTTTGTTTTTATGACTTTTTATGCCATAATAAACTATGATGTTTTTTCGACGTTTTATGCCATACTATACTATGACGTTTTTTGACCTTCTTAAGTCTTACTATACTATGACGTATTTATGACATTTTTATGCCTTACTATACTATGATATTTTTTTGCCTTTTTATGCCTTACTATACTATTACATTTTTTGACCTTTTTATGCCTTACTATACTATGACGTTTTTTTCACATTTTTATGCCTTACTATACTATGACATTTTTTGACCTTTTTATACCTTCCTATACTATGACGTTTTTTTCACATTTTTATGCCTTATTATACTATGACATTTTTTGACATTTTTATGCCTTACTATGCTATGACATTTTTTCACATTTTTATGCATTACTATACTATGACATTTTTTGACAATTTTAAGTCTTACTATACTATAACATTTTTATGACATTTTATGCCTTACTATGCTATGACATTTTTTGACAATTTTATGCATTACTATACTATGACATTTTTTGACAATTTTAAGTCTTACTATACTATAACATTTTTATGCATTACTATACTATGACATTTTTTGACAATTTTAAGTCTTACTATACTATAACATTTTTATGACATTTTATGCCTCACTAAACTATGACATTTTTTGACCTTTTTATGGCTTACTATACTATGACTTTTTTTGACCTTTTTAAGTCTTACTATACTATGACGTATTTATGACATTTTTATGCCTTACTATAACATTTGACGTTTTTTGAACTTTTTATACCTTCCTATACTATGACATTTTTTGACCTTTTTATGTCTTACTATACTATGACGTTTGTTCACATTTTTAAGACTTACTATTCTATGACATTTTTTTTAACATTTTTTGCCTTACAATACATTGATGTTTTTACTACATTTTATACCTTACTATTCTATTACATTTTTCATATATTTCTGCCTTACAATACATTGATGTTTTACTACATTTTATAACTTACTATACTATGACATTTTTGACCTTTTTAGGCCTTACTATACTATGATGTTTTTATGACATTTTTATGCCTTACTATACTATGACATTTTTTCACATTTTTATGCCTGACTATATTATGACATTTTTTTACCTTTTTATGCTTGACTATTCTATGACATTTCTTTGACATTTTTTGCCTTATTATATTATAATTTCTTTTAATATTGTTATCCCTCCTTATACCAAGACATTCTTTAAAGTTTTATGCCTTACCGCACTATGACATTTTTTGACGTTTTTAAGCTTTACTATATTGTGACATTTTTGACGTTTTCAAGCCTTACTATAGTATGACATTTTTTGACAATTTATGTCTTACTATTCTATGACTTTTTTCACATTTTTATGCCTTATAATACACTGATGTTTTTATGACATTTTATGCCTTACTACACTATGACATTTTTATGTGTTTTCTATTCTAATTCTATGTGTTTGTATAGGATTTTCTAAATAATTTCTTATTGAATTTAGACATACATGTCTATCTTTTATATTTACATATATAATATAGATAGAAACTGACAGGCTTTGAGATTGATATATATTCATAACATATGTTTATATTACAAATAGACATACTAAAATACTTGTTTCTATTCGGTAGACATATATGTCAAAATATGATATTCTTGCAATTTCTAAAAGGTTTCATATGTCATTTTTACATATACAGGCTATCCTTTAAATACAAATATGATTTTACTTCATACGTACACATATATCATATATGGAGATTCAACACACGTACATACATTACATTTGCATATGGGCATTCCTGAATGTAAATTCAGATATTTTATGTTAATAAACTGTTGATGCCACCCCTCCATTTGTTTTGGAGGGGTGGCGAGGTAATTGCGTCCCTACCAATGTTGAGGCCAAACCTACGCTCTTGCTTGTGACCTTCATAAACAAAGCTAGTCAACTCACAACCCTTTGATATAGGTGTCTATGAGCTGTAAATCAGCAAATATTTATTTTTATCTTCTTAGAGTGTTCATTTTGACTATTTAGAGGCCAAATGGGTGAAAGTATTTCAACACAAAAAGCAAATGGAAGAGAAAAATCCCCAAAAAGTGAAATTTCTTTTTCCTTTACTCATTAATCATGTCATAACTCCTCAGATAGTAACTTCTTGGGGGAACTGGACCCTCAGGTTGAGCACCAGTTGATGACATATAATCCGATTCTCAAAAAATGCAAGCAGCTGTAACACACCCTACCACATCTATTACTGCTGTCGGGGTCTCTCTTAATCTACCTGATTAAACAGAGCAAGATGGTTAAATGCCATAAAATACTGCACTGTACAAGAAAACTCAGTTGTGTATGAATCCACATGAGTGTCCAAAGTGCCCCCTAGTGATCCCTTATGTTTTTGGTTTTGATTGACTCTCACACTCAGTTGTAAAGATAAATGTCAGTTTTTGCAGTTAACTTTACAAATGTCACAGAATGTGTTCTGCGCCAGAGTCAGAATTTTTTAAAAGGGCATGTGAGCATACGTCTGGTCTGACAAGGCTTTTAATGAAAGTACAACTCAACATGTGAGTTCTGTTGGGAAATAGTCTTTAATGCCAGAACCAGGAGATTTATGGGAAGGCCCTTCTTTCATCTGTTATCAATAAAGTTTTCTGAGCTAATTATTGATGGATAATTGTATTTATCACTTTCTAATCAATCGTACACAATCACTCTCACACTTCTAGGTCTTAATGACACTCTCAGGCTTTCATTTTGAACCTCTATACTGCAATTGCACTATTGCTACTGTAGTAATGGCAAACCCATCTAAACGTCTGACTTCTCATTTTGTCAATTCAACAAACTATATATAGAGTTGCAGGAACCCAGAATACACTACATAAATTAGTGTACCTACCAATCTTTAATCATAATCATGTAAAATATTATTATAGAGCTGGTGTAAAAAATACTGTTTAACAATGTACATAATTAACTAACTATATTTACATGTAAAATGATTTTATTCCAACACATTTTTGTCTTTTAATATGACCTTCCTGTGTTAATGATTCAACATTTCGTTTAAGTGGGTCAAGATGACTGTGTAAAAAGAAACTAAATGCAATAATAAAATCTATAAGGGCACCTCTGACCACACATAGGCACATACATACATATGTATATGTATAAAAAACACTCCCAAAACAATACATTTGACACACATAACCTATTCACCTCTATGAGAACACTGGAGATTATCAGAGTTAATTAGGTTGTGCGGTTCATTAGGTCGTTGAGTAGGACAGACAATAAGCCTCCCTCCCTCCTCCTCCTCCTCTTCCTCCTCCCTCAATCGTGCTATATAAATGAGAAAGCTCCAGTTCCTCCCGATGTGAGCCCCAATGAGTTTCTGAGTTTTCACGTCTTATTTATCGCGGATTTCGTTGTTAAAAGCGAGAAGGCCAGTGTGAGGAGGATGCTGTCAGTGTCACTCATCTATACCGGACAATTTACTTGTTAGAAAGAACGTGGAAATTGACAACTCTGAAACAGTTGCTAGTGGATTTTTACGCATTTTTCGTATCGCTTCTATTCTACTTTCAAAATCATATTTTGGTCTTCTGAGATCCACCCGGACACTCCGTTTCCACTGAGCCGCAATGTGTGCGCGCCTGCCGGCGTGGCTGTGCCTGCTGCTCGGCCTCCTGCCTCTGGAAATCCAGTCCCGGGCTTTGACTCTGCAGAGCCTCTCTCACAGACACAGGTAGCACTGCCTCACTGAGCATTTACAATCTGAAGCGTATGTATACTGCTTCAGCTGAAGCTGGAAACTGAGACATCTGACTTTTGGAATAAAACTGTAATATTGTTTTAGAATTAAAGTTTAATACAAGTTATTATGTGGCTTCCTTTGGCAAAATGTGATTCAGGGTGTCCTTTCTATTATAAAAGAAGGAAAACCATAACCAACACCAAAACACAAAGCCTTTATTTCACAATATTTCTGTGATGATGTAAATTTTGGTGCTAAAATAGTAGTTTTTGGTTATGGTCAAACTAAACAAGATATTTGAAATGTCACCTTGGACTCTGGGAACCTCTGATGGGCATTTCATTCTACATTTACACTAAATAATTGATCGATTAATCAAAGGTTAAACATTAAAGGTTTGCATCTTGCCGTCTGGCAGTCATTAATGTGAGAAAAGGGTCCAGCAGCAGAGTGAGGTAATTCCTCTCAGCAGCAGGAGGTGAGACAGAGGTGAGGCTGATTTAGTGGGATTTGGGACAAGGATACATGTCATGCGCATACCGAGGGGCCAAGCAGCAAACAAGCCACAGACTAAGTATGGTACTCTACAACAACACACACACACGCACACACACACACACACACACACACATACACACACACACACACACTCCACAGACAGCAGCTTTGACAGTAGCTTGTGATAATGTGGGACGCAGACCTGCCTACATCTTGTGACTGAGCGCTGCAGGCACAGCAGACCACTTTTTAAATGTCACATGCAGACCCATACTTTATCAGTGTATTTTCCTTTAGCCTCTCTGCTCTGGTGAAACAAGACTTTTTACTGCATTATTTTGTGTTTTATGTGTGTGAGAAAGAGTAGGGAGGAGGTGTGAGTCTTACATAATAGGGATTTCTCTATTAGTACACTGTAATCCCTTATTACTATGAATACAGTTAGCTCACGGTTTAAGTGCCAAAGAGAGTATTAAGTAAAGTTGGATATTTGAATAGTGGAAGGTAAAGAAGCATCAAGACCTTCTTTACTATAGCAATTAAAAAATATTCAATGTAATATGTATTTATCTCTGCATACATGTTATACAGTAGGCCTATTATTTTCTCAAATTGTTATTTCTGCATTATGGGTTTCTTTTATAGGACTCCCTTATGGTATTTAATTTTGAATACGAAAAAGGGGCTTTATAAAGGATTTATTGGCTGTGGCACTGGCTAAAGTAGGAAAGGAGAGGATCTCAGTGTGATTCAACACTGATGGATGTAACATAATACTGCCACTGGCACTTAATAAAATGCCTGGAAAGAAATACAAGAAGAAAGAAAGAAAAATTAAAGGATCCTGTAGTAACTTGGAGAAGACAGAGAAAAAGGGGGCAAAATACAATGAATAGACCCAGTAACAATGGCTAGTAGTGAAACAGTGGGGATCTGACAGGGACAAAAAGTTTTTTTTCTTTGCGCAAAGGAGTTTTGAGGAGTTACGACAGGAAGGTGTGTGTGTGTGTGTGTGTGTGTGTGTGTGTGTGTGTGTGTTTGTGTGTGCGCGTGCGTGCGTGTGTGTGTGCATGTGTGTTTTGAGTTCCTCTGTGAAGAACCTCATGCTGTGCTCTAACTTGGGAGGAATGTTGAAGAAGCTCCTTTTGCTCTCAGGCTCTCCACAGGTTCACAACCTGGACTACCATGCAATGGTACACACACACACACACACACACACACACACACACACACACACACACACACACACACATGCACACATGCACACAGAGAGAGAGAGAGAGAGAGAGAGAGAGAGGTCATACTGGAGAGCACAAAATGGTGTTCACCTCAACTAATTCTGCGATCAATCATGCAGTGTTGCTTACAAACTGTTTTCATGTTCGGGCATTTCAGACAAGGAGGATCCTGCATGTGAAGTAACACCTGTAAACATCAGTGTATGAACGTCATTGAAAAAGAGAAGTTTGCTCTGGTGGAGAGTAACAAATAAGGCATCAGTTTATCAGTATCGTCAAAAAAAACAATGAATACCTAAGATCTTCATGGCAGTGACAGTGAATATTAATGTAGCTGATAAAACAATCAAACCACTAGGTCTATTTACTAGCTGCTCTTGAATTTGTACCACACCATCTTTCTCAGCAGATTCAGCTTGTTCATGGATTTGTGGATGTTCAAATTTTTATGCCTCTTTGCACAAAAACCGTATGTCAGATGTCAAGATTTATGTGATGTGATGAAAAACTCCACAACAGCTAAATTTTCTCAACTGCAATTTTCAAGGTCAAGAATGAACTTTGTGTATGAAAGGTGCTTTGGTGTCTTTCAGTTCATTGTTTTGGTTTTACAACACAATACCTGTTTAGTTCTATATCACCACTCTCAGTCTCACTGTCAGTTCAAGCAGAAGGCAGCTGATTTCATCAGAAACACTTTGATAAACCCACTACACCTGCCCACCACCACATGGCACACAGACAAAGTTAGCAATGAGTTGGTGAACGTAGAAGAGCGTTTAGCAGCTAAAATATTTCTTTCAGAAGTAGGTGGAGAGCAAAATAGAACAAAAAAGGAGAGTGAACGTCAACTTACATTCATCAGGTGTCCAAAAACAAATGAATGCTAATGTATCTCTGTATCTGCTGTATGTGAATAAGGTAAAGTGTTCACTAAGAATCATCATCTCAATATCAACTTGAAAGGTGATAATTGCTTACTGGTGCTTGTGTCAGATGCTCCTGAATGGGGCACAAAAATCAATTTATGGAAAATGGCCCCAAAATTATTAAAAAATATTAATGCACATGAGAATCTCAGTCTGATTACAGTTTATTAACAGCTTTTCTCTCTTTTATTTTGAGTAAATAATATCGAAATATATTTTGTATAATTCCATTGAAATGTTTTGACACAGACAGATAGACATACACTTTAATTAGTTTATATATCTGTATCTTGGTGCAGGTATAGTCTACCTGTTTTGGTTGTGTTAGATAAAGACTGGCGAGCAGCTCATGTGGCTTACATATCCTTGCACTGGGAGGCACCTCAGTGCCAACTGCCTTTCCCTTCAGAGACAACTGTGTGTGTGTGTGTGTGTGTGTGTGTGTGTGTGTGTGTGTGTGTGTGTGTGTGTGTGTGTGTGTGTGTGTGTGTAGGAGAGAGATAAAGACAGTGGATGAGTGCACCTACTGTAGGTGTGAGCATGCACACATGGAGCGTACATTGTAAGCAAGTGTTTGCACATATGAGTGAGCATCTTTTTGTGTTGGTAAATCTTGTTTGTGGCCAGGCAGTCACATGTCACTTGCACGTTTGTGTTCAGTAATGCCATGCCAACCAACATTTTGCCAGTGTGTGTGCATTTGTGTTTGTGTGTGTGGGACTTTGGTCCATTGCTGCTAGAATTCAGCATCCATTTAAACAATACAAAGCTAATAGAGTTGGGCGATCTCAAAAGCTTTCAGTCACTGGTATAACTCACAATAGTGAGTTGGTCATGGAGTGGGGTGAGTGAATGAGTGTGTGTGTGTGTGTGTGTGTGTGTGTGTGTGTGTGTGTGTGCGCGCATGCGTGTGTGCGTGTGTGTGTGTATGTTGGCAGTAAGAGCCCAAGGTGTCCAGCCAGAAGAGTGATCAGAATACCAGTCAGGATCAGTTACAGGATAAAGATCATATGGTGTTCTGGCCCACTTCTCACACCAAACAAACACAAACATTATCCCGCTCCATCCCTTTATTTTTTGTTTCTCATGAATAGCCAACAGAGGGATATGGGAGGTGTGTGCGCACACACACAAACACACAAACACATACACACACACACACATACACACAAAGTGATTTTCTGTTTTGCAGGACATCATGTAGACGCTGTTGGCAGTTATGTCAGGAGATGAATATACTTGTGCTAAGTGAAGGGCTTTTTTCAGATAGATTCACTTGATTCTGTGAGCATTGTAAAAAAAAAAAACAGATTATCATTTAACATGCTACACTGAGCGTAACATGTAGTGCGCTAAGTGCCCTTTGTCCCCTGCTACTTTACATTATCTATACCAAGTATTGTGTAATTTCCGACTGACTCTGTCCAGCAGTTGAACTCTCGAATGTAGAGCGAGAGAGAGAAAGAGAGAGAGAGAGAGAGAGACAAGGGATGAATGAAAACGAAAAAAGGTATTTTGACACCGTGAGAAAAAAGAGAGGCTAGACAGCGGGGAGATACTTAAAGAAAGTACTTAAAACAAACTCAAGAGGAGTGGAAGTGGAGCCTCTTACCACCAACCACATTGTGCTCCGTGGTTGTCGCTCTCCCCTTCTGTTTCTCCCTCCCCTGTTGTAAGATTCGTCAGCTCAGACACTGTTAGTGATTAATGGGAAATATTATTTTTTAGTTATGTTGGTGATGGGATGGATGGCATGCTTATGTCAGTTGGTTGTTGACACAGTCAGTTTAAGCCACTTTGGTCCGGGTAGGTGCAACAACAACCTCTAGGGGTCACTAATGGGCATTTTAGACTGTTTAAAGTGTCTAAAATTTCAATTATTGACTAAGAGACATGTACAAGAAACAGCTTGTCACTCTTTAACTGCATTTTGCAGGTCCACATGAAGATGAGTAAGCAGTACTCAGTTGTCTCAATTTTTCAAGAAAACACTTTTTCAGATGAGAGGATCAATGTCAGTTTTATTTCAGTGCATTCAATACATACATAGGTCTGGGATGTGTTTACCATAGCTGTGTATTGTAAATTTATCAAGAGTAGAAATAAAAACTGGTGGCATAGATTCAAGTTGTTTGCAAAATATTGGGGGATCTCAGCTGAACATCAACATTGTCTGAGATAGCACCTTAAGTTAGAAGTTCCTCTTTACTTTAAAAGCTACTGCAAATGTTTCTGAACACTTAAAAGACAGTTGGGATTAGACTGAATATTTAGACTGACTGATTGTTATTGCTTGCATGTGCTTACATTTTAACACAAAATCCAAATTGACAATCCAATCCCTCAACTGCAACATATGAAAATCATCAACTAACCAAATGTGCTAGTTTTGGTGTAACAAAATAACATTGACATATCACCTTTTAAGCTGAAGTTGCAGCCTTGTCCACAAAGAGTTGCTATTGACACATCCAACAGTTATGGAGCAACATTATCATTAATATGAAATAGTGTTTCCGCCCAACGTGGTGGAACGGTCACGGTTTGATAAGGGTTAGGAAACGATTGTGGTTTGGGTTAAAATAAGTACTTCCTAAAGATTAGAGGACATTTGTTGTCATGGCTACTATAATAAACGTGTTTATGGTTGTGAAACAGTCATGGATGGAAAGAATGTTCACACGTGAAACGAACAGTCTCCTGCGTAAATGTCCTGTGTTTTGTCGACCCATCCATCCACCCCAACCTCATGTTCCTAATGCAGACTTTGTTGCTCTATATACTATGTCACCTGACTTCCCTCCTGTGCTCCACTCACAATTACTACAGCCAGTAGAGGTTACCTAACAATAAACGTATGTATGCATCGAAATAAGCTGCTAACCTTGACCCATGCTGTCGTTTTTTACAGGACAGTCTCAGTGCACTTATGTTTGTACAACCAAAAAGTATATGATGTTGTTTGCCACTTTGTAAAGTATCACAGACCCACAAAGTGAGCTCATTTTGCTGGACTCACATCATATGGTCCCAGGTATTCTGAGTCTGCTTATCCCCAAATAGGCATAGACTGACAGATCACTCATAGACAGTGCAATCGTAAGGGTAAGGCAAGCTGGTACACCATAATGAACAACAGACACACTATCAGACACAGAGACAGTGCAGCTGGATAAGTCAGCTACAGAATTAGACACCCACCTGCTCACCACCCTCTGTCTATCTCTCCTTCTATCTGTCCTTCTCACTTTCTCTTTCAATCCACTCTTTCTCTTTTTGGTCCCTTGAAAAAAAAAAGGAGAGGCCACAGATTGAGTCCAGTGGACATTCCTGCAGTATAAGCCTGACTCCCTGTGAGGCATTTCATCTTGTTGTAGCGATCCAGTTTCTCTCAGAAACCTAAGCAGGTGACATGCGCATGACTGCCCAGCATCATATGCGAACGCGCTGTATGTGTGTGTGTATGTGTGTGTGTGTGTGTGTGTGTGTGTGTGTGTGTGTGTGTGTGTGTGTGTGTGTTTGTTGTACTGTTCTTGCATTGCATCTAAACTGTTTCTCTCTCCTCCTTCACAGGTTGAGTTTACCCAGAACATACAAATACCCAAAGTCTTCTCACACCACCATCATGCCTATTGTGTCTGATCTCACTGTTGCCACTGACAACCACATCACCCAGGGAGACAGAAATATCATCTGGAGGGCCCTGCTGCACAAAGAGCCCCCGCCAAGGTTGTCTGACCCGTTGCTTGACCAAAGCGACAGAATGCTGCAGGAAGCACCGGCCTGGCAGCGTGGGTCACGGGGTCGTCGTCATGCCATCATTGGCGGTGGGAGGGGCCACAGCCACTTGATGAGGGTGGGGTGTGTCCTGGGCACTTGTCAGGTTCAGAACCTCAGCCACCGTCTCTACCAGCTGATTGGACAGAGCGGGAGGGAGGACTCCTCCCCCATTAATCCTCGCAGTCCTCACAGTTATGGCTAAAACCACACCTCAAATCCAGCACAGACGCCTTTATTGACACATGTTGGCAAGTTAGTAACCCAGGTTCTTTGTTGCATCATTGACACGATTAGAGCCGGAAATAAGGCTTTGAAGTCAGACTGTTCCCAGATCTCAGCAATTATTTAGATGGGTACAATCATAACCTATATGTATGATGGTCAACACTACAAAAATAAGTTATGATAAACCAGAATTTCTTCATCATTGAACATTATGGCATTCAGTGCTGGCCACCACCAGTTTACTTCAGTGACACTAGAGTCCTTGGTGTTTTGGCATTTATACAATAATAACCATTTAGAGAGTATATTATGTGGAAGGAAAACTGTGAACAAGAGAGTTCTCAGTCAAACTGGCCTACCCGACTAATGTCTGCTATCGTCATCAGTGGTGATCCTGCTGATCTGAACTTACCTGAGCTCCGAGCTAATCCAGCCTGCCTCTCAAAAGCACCTTCATCTCCCTCTGCGAACAAGTAGCTTTACTTTGGTGCAAACATAAACCAAAAATAACCTCCAATCAAACCCAATTAACCCTTCACCCAAACCCCACAGTGTGCACAATCAGCCAAAATAACCGCTAACCCTAATCCATGATCTGTCTGTGCACTTCTTAACGGACAGCTTGTCTCCAGTGTCTTAGCAAGTAAACCAGAGAGAGGACAGCTATGCTATAGGGTGCTTTTTACCTGTGAAGTGTAAATTGGTGTTGCGTTATGTTTAATTTTGCCAGTATAAATTGTGTTTTTGAGCCTTAATTGAGTTAATCATTTGTAAAGCCTTATAGTCCTTTGCCTTTATCCTGTCCAAATTAAGCATCACAGTGAATGTTGACTATCAAAGTGATATTTAAAGCTTTATAGTCTTCTGCTTTTCTATGTGTGTAAGCTCAGCATAACTCCAGTTTCAGTAGGTGCTCTTACAGGTCAAATGTTGATATGAATGCATGAAAGCACTTTATCCTCCTTTATATTCATTATGACTTGAATTTTAAAATGTGTTATTTACTTTTAAATTAATGAAACCATTTTGCTGTAAATACTCCACTTTACTAAATCTTCATGTTCATGTGAGAGCCCCTTCAAGGTACAAGTGTCCTTCTGTAAACCCTCTGTGATGCTTTCATCTAATACTTTGTTTTTACAACAGCAGCGTTGTAATAAAACTCCAGTCAAACTTTCCCATGTATTTTATGTTTTATCTAAAAGCAGTCCGAGGTGCAAGTGTGACCTTTTTTTAAATCAATGCTACATAGTTTATGACTGGAAAATTTGTCTCACACCATGTTAGTGATAATGATTGTTAATCTGGGCTAATGTACACACACACACACACACACACACACACACACACACACACACACACAGACATTAGGAGGCCCTTGAGAGTAAAGTACAGGAAGTGAAAAGTCCAAACCAATGCCACAGGTCAAGTTCACTATGACATTACATATCTGTAAGTGACTCTCTCTCTCTCTCTTTTGTCTGTGTGTGTCTCCCATATGAACAGCCCTAAACACCATTCTTCTTTTCAAAAATGACAATGCTCACAGTTCAGTACAAAAGACCTTTAACTTCAGCTAACAGTATACAACACATTTTCCTTTAACCATTTAGTGAGAAATATTTTAACCTTGTAATATTAGAATTAAAATTCAATTAACATGACACACTGATTGATTGATAAATCAAAAAGACATGTCAAACAATAGTTTCAGGGTGTCACACTTGGTAAATGTGAGACATTTTATCCACTGACTGACAGAAATAAGCAGTGAGTCAAAACTGCGCAAGGCATTTTTGGATTTCAATTTATTGCAATGAATGGCAGCTGGCCTCAAAGTCAGGTTCATGAAATCAATATAGCAGAACCAGGGATGATGTCTTTTTTATTCCACACATTCTTCTTCCTTGCTAACACCTGGTGCCTACATTACCCACAATGCAACTCAACTACTGACATTTTTCCCGGACATGGTATGTTATACTAGTAGCAGCTAATGTGGCCTGGAGCCACTAGCCTCAAGCAGAGATGAGGAGTGGGCTCCCTTCTTTCTAACTCCACACCTCAAGATCTTTTCATTTTCAAACTTGTAGACTTCAGACCAAAACCAGCACCCAAAGACTTAAGAAAGATCAACTGAGGCAATTTATCAGATTTCACACAGCTTGTCTAAAGCCTCAACAAGGTTTGTATAACTTTTTTTCACATATGCAGTTGTATACCCTAGACCTGTAAAGAGACTTTGATGTAAAGCTTTCTCCTTTAACTTAAAAACATGGTAGCTTGTTGTGCTACTAACTTCTCTGCAATCAGACAATAACCTAGGATTTTGGGGCAGCTTTTAAGGTGGCCAATCAGATTTCAGGTTGGACCAAGCCTCCACCATCCACAGACACAACCCTGGCCTGAACAAACATAAAACTTTTGAAAGTTCGGGAGCTTTTCTTCATTTGTCTGGTGTGTGTGAACACAGACGTAGTGATTTTTCAGCTTTGTAAATAGCTCTTTCTGTTCATTTTTTATTTTCTTGTGTTATACAACACTTTTCACAGGGACAGAAAAACAAGAAAATATGACGCAAAACACTCAGCCCGTTCAGGCGTTTGTTGCTGTGTGTGTATCCAGGCAATGACCTCTCAAAGGGCAAGGGTATGGTTGAAAGCCGAAAGTAAAATTCTCTCAAATCCTGCACCAATCCACGAAATATAACATCACATTAAAAGTCCAATGTACATTGTTTACTGTGCGCTGAAGCAGATATTATGAAGACTTTCTTCTCATTCATACATTCGGTCCAAAGTGTGTGAGAGGGACACCTGGTGGCCTGCTGGGACTGATGCCAAACAGAGCGTCTGGTGGCTATGGACGACTGGCAGGAATCAACAACAAATTGGGAGGACTGTCAGGACTGCTCAGCAAACCGCTTGTGTGTGTGTGTGTGTGTGTGTGTGTGTGTATGTGTGTGTGTATGTGTGTGTGTGTGTGTGTGTCTTTGATCCAACTGACAGTAAACCAGGAAATTTGATACTGAGAAATCATCAGTCAATTCCTGTTGTTTGTTTTATACAATGTGGTCGATACCCAGATATGTGTATCCATGAATAAAAATGATTTTCCCTCATCAATCTACACACAATACCCCATAATGACAAAGTGGATCTCTTTTCTTTTTTTTATTTGCAAATTTATAAAAAAGGAAAAACTGAAATATCACATTAACATAAGTATTCAGACCTTATGACACTTGTCTCCTATTTCTCTTCATTATCTTTGAGATGTTTCTTCACCTTGATTTTGGTTAATGCAACTGATGGGACCTGATTTGGAAGGCACACATGTATCTATATCAGGTCTCACAGCTGACAATGCATATCAGAGCAAAAACCAAGCCATGAGGAGGAAGGAACTGCCTGCAGATCTGAGGAACATTTCTTCTGCATTAAAGGTTCCCAAGAACACAGTGGCCTCCATATTTCTTAAATGGAAGACGTTTGGAGCAACCAGGACTCTATATAGAGCTGGCCACCCAACCAAACTTAGCAACTGGGGAAGAAGGGCATTGGTAGGATAGGTGACCAAAAACCCAATGGTCACTCTGGCTGAGCTCCAGAGATCCTGTGTGGAGATGGGAAAAACATCCAGAAGAAACCCATCACTGTAGCTCTCCACTGATCTGGGCTTTATTGCAGAGAGAGAGTGGCCAGACGAAGCCTCTCCTCAGTGACAGTTTGCAAAAAAAAAGCAGCTAAAGAGTCTCAGATTGTAAGAAACAAGATTCTCTGATCTGATGAAACCAAGACTGAACTATTTGGCCTCAATTCTAAGCATTATGTCTGGAGGAAACCAGGCAGCGTTCATCACCTGCCCAACACCTGCCCAACACCATCCCAGCACTGAAGCTTGGTGGTGGCAGCATCATGCTGTGGGGGTGTTTTTCAGCAGCAGGGACTGGGAGACCAGTTAGGTTTTAGGGAAAACTGAATGGAGCACAGTACAGAGAGATCCTTAATTAAAATCTGGTCCAGAGCTCAGGACCTCAGACTGGGCCAAAGCTTCACCTTCTAACAGGACAATGACCCTATGCACACAGCCAAGACAACGCAGGAGTGGCTTCGGGCCAACGTTGTGAATGACCTTGAGTGACCCAGCCAGAGCCTTGACTTGATTTCAATCAAACATCCCTGGAGAGACCTGAAACTGGCTGTCCACCAGTAATCCTCGTCCAACCTGACAGAGCCTGAGAGGATCTACAGAGAAGAATGGCAGAAAGTCTTCAAATCCAGGTGTGCAAAGCTTGTCACTTCATACCCAGAAGACTTTGGGACAGTCTGAAGACTACTTATGTCAATGTGATATTTCAGTTTCTAAACTAATTTCTAAAATTATGTTTTCACTTTTTCATTATGGGGCATTGAGTGTAGATTGATGAGGGAACCTTTTTTCAAATCTATTTCAGCATAAGGCTGCAACATACAAAATAACAAAATGTGAAAAAAATTGAAATGGTCTGAACACTTGCTGAATGCAATGTTTCTCTCATTTACTTTTCGTTTGTGTAGATATACAGTACATATAGGTCAAAATATAGATAACAGGTGTACTTAACGAAATGTATATGACAAGTACACAGGTTTTGAAGAAATAGACCAGTTAATCTGTGTAAAAGTGTTTTTTTCAATAACATTAATAATAAAATATATGATATGGTTAAAATGATCAATTAAAGTATGAAACAAAGAACTACTGAGTCATTCTACATCAGTACAAACAGAAAACCTGTTGATTATTAAAAAAAAAACTCTTCCTGGGATGGACACACACACACACACACACACACACACACACACACACACACACACACACACACACACACACACACACACACACACACACACACACACACACACACACACACACACACACACACACAAACAAACACACAAACACACACACACATACTCAAAGCCAAGGTTGAACACAGTGTACCCCATTAGGTGAGGTTTGGTTAAAGTGTGACTGGACATTGGTGTACCCTGTACGTACGCCTACAGTCCAGGTCAAAAACATTATTGTTTAAACCGGCAGGATATATATGGGCAGGGAAGCGTGCAGTCAACTCCAAAGGACAACACAGCAGCTGCAAAGATTTCATCTGTCAGCCATGAGGGTCATCAGCATTGTATGGATACATTTTTTGAAATAATTTTTTCATAATTGTATAAGCATTTATGTTATGCATCTATGTAAAGCCTGAAGGTGTTTTCTGCTCTCTGTTATTTCAAATGCAGGGTCCAGACCCATCTCTGGCATATCGGCCAAATTTGGAGAAGAATGAACACAAAGAGAAGGAAGAATACAGAAACTTTGAGGTAAGCATTCAAAGCCTCTCTTCAGCACATGACACTTATTTAATGCTACATTAAATAAGTTTTAATGCTTATTTAATGCTACATTTAATGCTACATTAAATAAGTTTTAATGCTTATTTAATGCTACATTTAATGCTACATTAAATAAGTGTCAAAGCTACAAAGAGGGGGGCTTTGCTTCTCCTCTTCAGCCTGCACTGATGTACCTTCTCTGATCCACAGTTTTGCAATATACCAAAATTTCATTTTATTTTCAAAACATTACTGAGTCATAGTAAGTTTTGACAGTAATGCAGACATTGCAGACGTCCAGTATCACTGGTTGGCTGTTGTCATATGTGGCACAAAAAAGCAGTTCATGTCATCCTATGCAAAAATGCATTTTGATTCATCTTTATTTTATAAGACAAGGTTAAGTGTAATGCTGCTGTAAGTGTATTGGCGTGTATCATATATGTGTTTTTCAGACTGGAAGCCTTATTGACCGTGTCTTCAGCACATATAAGTTGATGCACACCAACCAAACCCTGGACTTTGTAAAGCATAAGGTGAGTGAATCTGAAGTGAGCGAGTGATCCTGTCAGACTGAGCAAACAAATGTCATCTGGTCCTCTGAAGTGAAAGCTAAAGTTCTGTTTGGAACAAACGTTGTTTAATTGACCTGATTTCAAATCTCCGAAAGGTTACACAGGGACATTTTCCTGTTTTATATAAGTGACCTGAAGGAGATCCAGCTGGGGTGACCTACTCTGGATTTGTTTGCAGGCCTTTGTGGGATATTGGAAGATGTTGTCACTACTGAAAGAGAGAATGACCTTTTAGTATAGTGGAACAAGTAGAATATGAGTGGTCACAAGTCTTCTGTTTCTGTTCACTAGACACATATGGTTACTCTCAGAAACACATACAGTAGATGGGACTCATTTGAGTAAACATTAAGCAATTCAAACACCTCCCCAGTAATGATGTGACTCTTACCTCCCTGCAGCACTCTGAATGGACCAGCTGCAACCACGCTCAGATGGGGATGATGGACGCCATCATGTCTCTGGACCAGCTCGTGGACGAGTCTGATCCTGATGTGGACTTCCCCAACTCCTTCCACGCCTTCCAGACTGCTGAGGGCATCCGCCAAGCACACCCAGACAAAGGTACCATACAGGGAAACAGAAACACACGTATATGTGCTGTACTGTAAGTTTGGTAAATACTGTACCTGTATTTACTGTCCTTCCTCAGACTGGTTCCAGTTGGTGGGTCTGATTCATGATGTTGGGAAGATTATGGCTCTTTGGGATGAACCCCAGGTAGGAGACAGGTTCAACCCATGGAAAGCTGGTATTGCAGCTCCATCATGAACAACCTCACTGAGGAATAGTTCAATTTCTGACCTTAATGTCACCCTTTTTTAGATTTATTTTTATTGTCTTCTTCTAAGCATTTTTGAGTCTTCTCAATAATCTCAGTTGTTTTTATTACTCTTTTTACAATCTTTTTGTTTCTTTATACGAGGCACATTTGAACTATGTTTTGATAAGGGGTTAGCATTATTACAGTCTAACTTTATATCATATATATGATAGATACAATTAATGTTTGTGTCTCTGTACTCTACAGTGGGCTGTAGTGGGCGACACCTTCCCTGTGGGATGTAAACATCAAAACTCAATCGTGTTCAGAGACAACACCTTCCTGGATAATCCAGATGACAAAAACCCCAGCTACAAGTTGGTATTCTCATTTTAGGTTATCAACGTCTGTGAGTGAAGCTCTCTTTGTTGGTTATCCTGGTTAATTTAAATATGCACCCCATCTTTTACAGTAGTCACTTCTTTAACCTTCCTTTATGTCAAATTTGACCTGAACATTTTACTACCGAATTTACTTCAGGATTTAATGTGTGTAGTCAATAATCCATCAGTTTTAATGAATGGAACAAAATACAATTACGTTTTGTCTTTGAATGTAATGTCATTAAAACTGCTCTGCTGCACTACTATTATCGAAAACAATAGCCATGTTGTTTTAATGTGCAGGGAGCTGAATGATTTTTTTTCTCTCTCTCTTCAGTACAGATTATGGGATCTATGAACCTAACTGTGGACTCGACAATGTCCTCATGTCCTGGGGCCATGATGGTAGGAGAGGTCATCATATTCACACACACAAATAATCCCATCTGTAACACATCACACACACATCCATCCATCCATCACTACTTTTGAAATAATTTGTGTACTGCCATTGAAGTGCCTGAACCCCTGCACTGTTGCCTTTAGAGTATCTCTACAGAGTTATGAAGTTCAACAACTGCTCGATCCCAGAGGAGGTGAGTAAGTTATTACAAATAATGATTGTTAAATGTGAAGGAGTGAAAGCTGTTATAAGTATCCCTCACGTCTTGACTGGTCAGATACAGTACAACCCTTCAATTTTTTCATATTTTGTTATACCGCAGCCTTGAGCTAAAATTGTTTAAAATAATTTTTTCCTTCATCAATCTACACTCAATACCCCATAACGACAAAGAAAAAAAGGAATTTTAGAAATTTTGTGAATTTATTAAAAACGAAAAACTGAAATATCACATTGACATAAGTATTCAGACACTTTGATGTGTAGATGTTTCTACACCTTGATCTTTTTCTGCCTCTCTACAGGGGTTGTACATGATTCGCTTCCATTCGTTCTACCCCTGGCACTCCCATGGAGACTACATGCACCTGTGCAATGACAAAGACCTGCATACGCGGCCCTGGGTCCAAGAGTTCAAGTGAATATCTTCTTCTTTCATATTCACATTATCCTTCTCACCATTTTGACCTGAAGCTGCATCTTCCATCCTCTCCACAGTAAATTTGACCTGTACACAAAGACCACTGATCTTCCCGATGTCGACAAGCTGAAGCCCTACTACCAGTCTCTGATCGACAAGTACTGTCCTGGAATACTGAAGTGGTGAAATGTGTAATTCTGTAATGATTCGACATACTGTTGCTTTATACTATAGCTGGACTTCCTGTACACACATTAGTTATCAATGAATATAGTTCTATCAAGTTTCAAACTACTCAGAATATATCCTGAGTAACTGAATATTTTATCTTGTGTATACTGACAAGTTCTTGAAATTAGACAGGTGTGTGTATATATATATATATATATATATATATATACTCACCATTATTATACAGTTTCAAATAAAAATTTACAGAAAGCATTTTTATTTTATTGGATTTTAATCTTATAAAAACATTTTTAAAGTACTATAATGTTTTCATTTTCGAAACAAAAGACACATTTGTGGAAAAGAAAGTGCAGAGTTGTTTTAGTTCTTTACATACAGCAATAGAGGCAAGTGACCACAGTGAGAGACACACACACACACACACACACACACACACACACACACACACAGAGTGGCACAGTAACATGAACAAGACTGAACCCACCTTACATTTTAAATTCTATATTTTTCTCTACTGTCATTCAACATGATTTGATCTTATGATTATATTTCACTTATGAGTTCAGCATAAAAGTCAGACCCAATGAGGTTTTAAAATATATAAACACCTGGCAATATGTGTTGAATTAAAACCAATGACCCAAAGTGATTAGGCCATTGGTTTCTGATGTAGACAGCTGATATATGAACAAAGTACTGCGGTAAAGTGTAGGTGATATAAGGCAAATAAACTTTTTTTTCAAATAGAAATATACAAAGAACAATTTCTTTGGTCATTTTCTTAATGTTTTATAAAGGCAGGTGGTGATAACAGTCCTTACGGGATTACCTGCATCTTTATTAAAGCTTTCTCTTTCGGAGTAGCTCATCTCTTTCCTCTTCCTCATCTTGTTCCTCACCCTCGTTGTTGTCACTAACAGTGTCCCTCTCTTCCCCCTCGCCCTCCTCCACTTCATCTTCGCTGTCTTCACCTTCCTCCTCCTCTTCCACTGCCTGCTGTTCGTCTGACTTCTCACGATTTTCCGTGTGATTGTTCACAGTCACAGCGGCCGAATGAGTAAGTAAATTCCCTTTGTTTCTGTTTCGCAATCCTTGGAGGAGACAGAAGGTGGCGCTGCAGGCAATGAGGGTCCAGATTAGTATGTGGGTAGGAACACCTCTGACCTGAGAGCGCACCCACCTTACTGCCCGGGCAACAGTGGTGTTGGATATACGTGGAGGCGATTTGTCCTACAGACAAATTAAAATCGATATTATGGTATCAGGATTGTAACAGATTACAGCATGAAAAGGGACATTTTCTCTCCATGTTTTCCACAGATTATAATGAAAGTTTTATGGTTAAGGATAATACAGAGGAAAGAGACTAATTTTAAGAGGCATTTACCTTGAGTCCATACTGGTTGAGCATGCCTTCCAGGACAGTGTTGCCCAGGTGCACAGTGGGGTAGAACTCCTCATCATAGACCCTCCTCCACCAGCGCTGTGGGTAAGAACTGCCAACAAAGACCAGCCAAACTCTTAACATCCTGCGGTTTGTGTGCGAAAGGCTTGTGACTTATAAAAGAAACTGAGATAAAAAATTTAGTTTTTCTAATTTGAACAGGCCGAGACGACAAAATCATGACAAGCAGGAAAGTTGCAGTGTATAACAATGAACTAAGTACAGTACAATCAAACCTTGTGTGCTATTCATATAATAGAGAACATACATAACAGTCATTTTCCAGCATTTTGAGGACATGTTTGCACAGGAAAAATTAAGTTAACTAAAACATGCGTATTTAAAATCATTTTAAAATTGCAACAAAACTTTAGTTCTAATTTCACAGTAATATTCCACAGTGTGTTGACATGACAGCTTTCAGCGCACACTCAATGTATGAAGGAAGGAAAAGGAGAAAGAGAGCACTGACCCGTCAGCCTTTGGTTCAGTGAACCAGTATCTGTAGCGGTGGGCTCGGAGGTAGGCAGGAGGCTGCTGGTGGAACGGATACTGAGATACATCTGTCTGGATCAACTCTATAACTGCAGAACATGAAACAAAGCTTAAAGAGATATGCTTGTTAAATAAATCAATGAATTAACTGTAGCTTTGCGAGGGTGCGTACCATCTCTCTTTCCCTGCAGCAGTCTGTACATCAGGCTGGTGAACCATGGAGCCTGTGTATGAGCCCCAAGGGCAGCAAACCACATTTGCCAGTCCAACCTAGGCTGGTGAGGTGTCAGCACAGGTGGAGGTGCACTAAGGTTTCCTGGCTTATACATAAACTCAATCTCCTAGAAGAAAAAAAAAAAAAAAACATGCCGATATAAAGACAGTGAGTCTGCACAATTATTCAGTATGAAATTGTTCAATACTGCCTCCATAATTTTATCGTACAATTACAGATTTTAGAAACTACAATCATCTTATACAAGAGTCATTAACAGGCATATTTTCAGCGTGTTTGAACCATCATCCATCATAACTTGTTTCTCTCACCGTCCATGTGACTCCATCGTGGCTTCCCTCAATGACAACTTCTGGCCGCCCCCCGACGCCTGTCATCCTTCTGAAGAGGCCATATGAGTTGACCAGCTGGTAACGATTCACTAGCTCATGGGCCCGACGCACTCCTGGCCATAATCTAGTATTGGAGTCATACTCTATGTAGGTGAATGGCACCTAGAAGTGAAAAACAGTGTCAGGAAGTGATGACATGAGAGAAAACAGTTATATTCTGACCTGCACCAACAGAGAGATGCTAGAATCCAAGAGATAACAGCCAAATTAGGACATTACACTGCTGACTGGTTATAGCGTTCAACTGAATAGTGATATGAAGTTTCAGCTTCATGATATGAAGCTCAAGCATTACTACACATTACTACCCACCAGACTGACAGCGAACATGGCAGCAGTGGCAGCAGCAAACACCGTCCACTGAATGGTTCCACAAAACCTCTTCAGGAAACCACAGACACATGCACACCTACAAAAACACATGGAATACATTATCTCTACTTCTGCTGTACACTAACACATTTTCAATAACAAGGTAAATCCACATCAAGCAGTAGAGTAAATGCAACAGACCACATAATCAAGCTCCCAGCTGCACACTGAGGAGAGGAGAGTTTTACCTGAACATTGCTGCGACCATCTCCCAGGTGAGAGAGAGGACCCCAATCCAGATACAGGGGATTGTGACAGTCTTCAGAAACTGGTTAAACTGGTGGTATGTGAATGCTGCAAGAACAAAAACGTAAACGAAAAACTGCACAATGCAAATCTCTTCTATTCACATACACACACACACACACCTGTCCTGGAGGAGATGCCGTTCCTTGTTTTATCCAGCTGTAGGTCAAAACATATAATTGTTCCAAAGATCATGAGAGACCAGACTGCCAACTCCAGCAGGTAACACAGCCACGACCACAGCCTGGAGTCTGATCAGGACAGACAGAGAAAAAAAAACTAAGAAAAACAGGTGATACTCTGGTAAGTAAACCATGCTAGAATGGTTCAGGTGCAAATTTAAACTTTGAATTGACAAATGTGTACCATGTGTAACATGCACACTTTAATGTTTAAGTAATCCTAAGATTTAAAAACTGGGAATAACAAGACAAATTTTTCCAATTTTAAAAAAACAATTGTGAGGCCTGCATATGTAAAATGTAAAATATGTAAAAATCAGTCCAGCTATTCCCAGTCCTGTATAATTGTATTATTATTAAAATAGTATTATTATATTATATTTATATATACACATACACATATGCATGCACATGTGTATCATACCATTGTTGTTGGTCTTGTCTGTTTTGCGTAGCCAGAAGTGTACATGCTGATCGTCCAGCAGAGACAGACAGAGCGCCAATGTCAGCAGGTTGAAGAAGTTGTAGTTTCCAGACAAAATGATGAGCACCTGCAGAAGCACCTACACAAGGGTGAAAAAAAGAAAAAACAGATCAGCCAATATGCACACAACAACGTGGCAATTTTAGAAGCACAACACTTTACAAGCAATCCTGTTAATTGCAGGCTTAAGAGACGTGCGTGGGAAAATATAGTAGTGCAACAATTAACTACTGTACAATCCAGAAGTTAATTATGTATTAAGAAATGTAAATAAACCTAAAGCTGATTGTCAGTCAGCAAAGTAAAGAAAGAAACAAATTATAAAAAATTACAAAAATCAAATGTAGCACTTGAATTTCTACCCACCTGCAAGTAAAAAGACCCGAGTCGAAGCCTACGTAGTGGACTGAAGAACAGTAGAGGTGCAGCCATCTCTATGACAAACGTTCCCACCACACTTAGCTTCTGCCACCAGACTGGCAACTGGTGGGCAACCCAGGCGAGTGGGGTGGGAATACACTGAGTCTCATAGTGATATGTCAAAGCTGTTCAACACACAGTGAAAAATAAACTTAAAAAATGCACAGAACAGATAACTGGCGAGAATTAACATCAGTAATGAGATGTTGGAGGAGTTAAACTACATGTTTCAACAGTAGTAATGGGATTTCTTCCAAAGATTCACATCCCCAAAACATGCACACTACAGTATACCTCAGACACTCAAACATACCTGTAAGACCCCACCACGTGGGACAACGTGATGTGAGCTTCACCACACCAGAGGCAAACATTAGCCTGAAGAGCAGCCAGCGGATCAGCCAGAAAGTCACGCGATCATGTTCTCTGACCGCTTGTGACCCTCTGATTATTGTCAGTGGAGCAACAAGGATACAGAGGAACCCAGTCTCTAGAAGCAGGTTGTCCCTGTCCAAAGAGGAACAGGCATCAAAGAGGACAGGGAAACCAGAGTTGTCATTCTAGTTTACTTTAATGTCTGTAGTCAAGACAAACATCACTATGATGTTATACCAAGCATGACATAAAGATACCGGCAAAATGCCAAAACCATCTTGGGCTCCTTCTTCCAGCTGCTGTTTATAGAAGTAATGTGCAAATGAAAAAAACAAATCAACTATAAACATCTATGCTTCATCTTTTTGTTCATAACACTCACCACTGGAAGTAGAGAAAAACTTGGCCCACCTGAAACAAACAAATATGTTTAAGAGCATGGAAATATTGTGAGAGTAAAAAAAAATAAATAAAAAAAAGTACAGCTGATACAAACTCACCTGGTACATGGACAGGTACAAGGCCCAGAGGCAGAAGAACACCACGCTGTCTCGGAGAGCTTCCATCAGCGTGGCGGCAAGGCTCAGTGCCGCCCCTATGAGACACAGCAGCTCCATGGCAGTCTGCGTGTCCAGGCCGAGCCGAGGTCCAAGCCACAGTAGGGTGGGTGAGGACAGCAGCTGTTCCACCAGGGGCTTACCGCTGTATCGCAGCTGCCACCGAGCAGGCAACAGCCCGTCATTACCGTAGAGACCTGGGAATAAACACAAACATGTAAACCATGCTACAGATCAAGATTAATTGTAATGTGCTTGGCCACCGCAAGATACCAGAACAGCTTCAATGCTGCAAAGCAGCGAGTCTCCAAGTTTCAGGACATCTACTAAAGAGATTAACGCTGCTCTTCCAAAGGATATTCCTTAATTCTGTTTTAGTTCTTTTCACTCAGTCATCCCTTGTGGAGTGTATGGAAGTATGTGCTCAGTTTCACCACTCCTTTATTTTCCAACTACCAGTATCTGCCAGTGCATCAATCACTACTATTGGCTGGCCCTGCACAGACCAGCCAGCGATGCCTACAGCTAAACAGACCTGTACAAAGAAAATTACTGTAGATACATTTCAATTTTTGTCCTCAAATGCTTCTTTTGTTTAAACAAAAATTCAAATACCCAGAAATATTTAGTTTACACCGATTGATGCCAAAGGAGAGCAGGAAATAACCTCATTTGAGAGGCTAGAAACAGACAATATTTGGCATTGTTCCACTATTCTTTTTTGAAAAATCACTGAAATTATGAATCAATCAATCAATTGTTAAAAAGTTGACGTGATGACTTACTTTCCTAATCAATTAATCGACTATTCTTTTCAACTCTACATGGGAAAACAAAGTATGCATACTTCATAGTTTTATATACTGTACTTTATGAGTTTGTGCTTTATTGCATATGCACTAAAAATCTCACTGTCATTTATCTCAAAATATATTCATTGGTAATCTCAGACAGCTAATATACATTTGTGGCTCGGCCTAAAATGAACTATGAATACATAGTGGAAAACCTTACACTAGAAAATTATGTTGGTACTGAAACTAAATAAATGTGTATTCCAAATGTACAGTTTCCTTTAACACGCGGGCGTGGGCGACGTCTTCTGAGCTTCTTCTGGACAAATAGCAGAACTTTTAAGGTTTGTGGGTGCTGTGGTAAAAGACATGTGAGCGTCTTTTAAAACAGGTTGGGTCTCTCTCAGCAGCTATTAGCTCGCGTATTTTGCCAGGAGCAGAGAAGTCTTTCTGACTGCAGCCCACAGAAACTTCCAGGCGGCTCTTCACCACAACTGAGAGCATGAAAAAGGGAGGAAGACAGAATAGCCTGAGCGCTAAGTTCCCAGCTAACAAGCTAACACACAGCAGTGAAGTTAGGGAGGCTAGCTCTCGCACAGGTAGCAGAGTTGAGGGTCTCACCTGGTATTTGCATATACAAGGAAACAAAAGCAGCCAGATAGATGGCCGCCATGCACCAGAGGAACATGCGCCGCGGCAGAATGATCTCCCCCATGTCTAAGCCGAGATGCTGGTCGTGACAGCCGCCACTTTTACCGCTAACTGACTTGCCGCGTCCTGTTCCTGCGGCAGGATGGGATGAGACGCAGGCAGCGGGGATTAAACGTAGCCGAAGGACACGTAGCGGAAGTTCACCTGAACGACCTCGAGATGTCGCTGCAGTTCGTTTTGACCGTTATGCTGCGTTCATGTTACATCGGATGAAACATATGTGTGATGTCAGTAGATTTTCTGATCACCACTCATCCTGTTCTCAATGTTTTTCATTTGCATTGGAGCAGTTTAAAACTACAAATATATTAATGTAAAATAAACCATTACAAGTAAAAGTCCTGCATTCAACTTCTTACTCAGGTAAAAGTCTATTTTTTAGTATCAACAAAATGTCCAATGTGACCATATTATCACATACAACATTATTAGTTTGGTAATACTAATGCATAAATGTGACATCGGCATTTTACTTTTTTGACCTGCTTGAAGTGGAGGTTCCCAATCTACGGATCGCTCTTAAGGTATAAAGTATATCGATACTAAGTAACCAAACTGTGTGTAAGCAAACTACAGTTTTGTGATGAAAAGTGAATTTTAAAAATAATTTAACATTTTCCGACATGGACGTTATTTTGATGTTGGAAGTAGAAAATAATTTTTCCTGTTTTGAACGCCTCAAAAACAACAACAAGACGCGCGCGCGCACCAATAACTTGTATAGATAATCTTTGGTTAAACCCATAGACATTTAATAAATGTTAAAAAAAAAAAAAAAAAAGTTTATTCAATTAAGAAATTAATTGTCGCAATCGACCAATATAACACTGTAAAGGTCCTCAATAAGAATGTGATTGTGCTCTTTAGCATGTTGACCAAGATGTTAACTGAATAATCAAGACAAAAAAAATTGATAAATGTGAGATTTGCTGCTTTTCCATTTTGTATCCTGGGTTTAATAAACTTGGACGCATCGCCACAGCTTCTGGGAGATTTTGATTTTAGCTAATTTCTGACATTATAGACTAAACAGATTATTGATTAATCATAAAACAATCAACAGAATCCATTACTGAAAGCATTGTGAACATAGTTTACATAGTTACCTGAGACAAGATTTTAACTTGGCATAAGTAGCACTGTATCTGCACTATATCATTAATTTCTACTGTATTCCTATCTATTAAGAAGAGAGGCTGTCCACAGCTTTTGTCAATGATGACAATCAGATGCAGCTTGGTTTGACTGAGTTTATTGTGCAAGACTTACCAGGCGAGCATACAGATTCATGGCAATAAAAAGTGGGTCTGCATGCTGCTAGTCAGAAAGCAAAAGCATCTAAGTATGTACATTCAAGTTTCAGACACAAATATAAGAAACTGATCACAAACTGCTGATCACACAAACAGATTAGAGTACCTATTATTCTCTGACACAGTGAGTCAAAACATCAGGAATTCATTGCACAAGCAAAATGAGCAGTAGGTTTCATAAATTTTATGTTACAAAAATACTAAAATCTGATTTTAGAGAACATTTACACAGTTTATTTTCAGGTGGCACCTACACCAGAAGATGCTTTCTTTTCCAGCATTGGACATCAATGTCGGAGATGGACAGATCAGTAGCAGGACTATTATTTGGAACATGAATGCCAAAGCAACAATGATGAGGCTTGGCAAAGGGATGTGACATTTGACACTGACAAAAAGACGCATCAAGAAGAGGAACTGATCCTGGAGCTGCAAGAGAAGCGATAAGTGCCTCATCATATACCAGTAAAGATGTAATTCAGTCAAAAGGATTTCAAAGACTTTAGACCCCAGTTTAGTCGTTAGACCCCAAAGGGCCACAGTATATAACTAAGACTGGATGTCTGTTCCATTTATACTCATCAGACATTACACCATCCCCAGCCCACATGAAAGTGAATAAAAAAAGGCATACACATTATCCCACTCGTTTTTTTCCATTTTGCCATTAAGCAATAAAAAAAAGTTTTAATTTATAAAATAGTTACTGGAATACATAGTAATGGCTGTTGTAAAAGGAAAATTCTCGCTCTACAAAAATATGCGCGTATAATGCCTGTAATCGTTGCCTGTTTGTTATAGATGTGTGTAACTTGAGTAACTACCAGAAATAAAAACAAGGCTGTAATCTGTGGCATCATTATTTGACACTTCCCTAGAAATTTAATTATCTATAAGATACTGCAAATCAGCAATACTGTGACAGTAATTAGGAAGTTTATCAATCAACAAAATCAATACAAAATCTAATTTAGACATAAAACTAATTTATACATTAAAACTGGACAACAATTAATTCTTACATGATTATAACAAAATGGCATCACAGGTTTACCTTGGTTGTTTGGATTTTAGCTTTAAAATTTATATTCTAGGCTGAATTTTGTATTTTGACGAAGTCATGTTGACATTAAAATACTTGTCCTGTCTGACACAGCCTTTATCCATCAACTTTGAAATGGACTGATAGTCTTTTAATCTGCATGTTACTCGAAACAAAGCCTAACACTGAGGGAGAATCTGACTGCATTGTAATCATACAACTGTGTCCCTTTTGGCATAGCCATTTAATGAATCCTGTGATCTGTGGAAGGACATATTAGTCATAGCTGCCTCCTGTTTCATTCATGCCCAAACACAAGGGGATGGCCAATATACTGTAGCTGTGGGCAACCCCAATATGGACAGCTATAATGCATAGGCATAATTTAGATGCAGATGGGTCCTGTGGCTGTTGTTTTAAACAAAAAGTTTTGAAATACTCTCAGATTACCTAATTCTCAAAGAGCTACATCAGTATCTTGTGCACAAATGCTGTCTTTAAACATAGAAAAACAAAAAGAGAAACATCCTGCTCTCCTATCTCAATACACACTTCATGTTTTTGAGATTGTGTGAGTACTTGCTTTATTACCTGTGTCCACACCTTTGGATCTTTTATAGAGTTTTAAGGCAGACATAAATGACTCATACTTGGACGGCTAGACTCGGAGAGTGTGTTCACTCAGATTGTGTGCCCTGCAGACAAAATGAGTCTCTGTGTTTCACTGTCATGTAGCCCCATCAGCTCCACTGCTACAGGTCTGTCCAATGTTTGTGGTTGAGGGCATGGGCTCCTGGTCTGTTTCCTTGACACAGATGACGGCATCACCACTCACATTGATGAGACACTGTGCCTAGAGGAGGAGTAGACAACATTAAAACACAAGGACACTGGTTTACCCAAAATATGGCTGCAACTCATTCAAAATTCAGTAGCAAGAATCTTAATCACAACTAGGAAAAGAGAACATATTATACCAATGTTAGCATCATCGCACTGGCTACTTGTAACGTTAAGGACAGATTAAAAAATAAAATAAAACTTCTTTTACTTGTTTTTAAAGTCAAAAATGGTCCAGCACCTTCAAATCTTTCAGATTGCAAGTATGTTCCAAACCATCCGCTTAGGTGGCTTAATGCTTGCTTGCTAAATATGCCACAATTAAATCACAGAAAGTACAGAGAATTGGCCTTCTGTAGTTATGAACCCAAGATTTGGAACATACTCCCACCAAATATTAGACAAGCAGCTTCTGTTGATATTTTGAAGAAGCAGCTCAAATCTTATTTTCATGGTTTTGCTTTTAATAAATTCAACTTTTATTTGGGATTTCTTTTATTTCTCTATGATCTTACTTCTTCTTACTTTCTCAGGATCTTATTGCCTTAATATGTCCTGTTTTTAAGTATTTTTTTGTTTTTAATATCTCTTATTGTAAAGCACTTTGAGCTACGTGTCATGTTATGAAAGGTGCTATATGAATAAAGTTTATTGTTATTATTACTAACTGTCAGGTCTGAGGATCAAAAATATAATTAATTATGCTTTTAAGTATAAATGCAGATTAACTGCAAAATACTTCAAGTGTGTGTGTTTATAATGTGCAAGAGTGTTTGAGAATACCTGGTTCTTGTTTGGATTTTCCATTAACACGCACTCTTTCATGCTGTAGGACACTACTGCATTACCACCCAGGGCTGCTACATGCGCTCGAACCATCGCGAACACCTCTGCTATGAATGAATGCAGGAAGCCACTAACACCACCTTCCTGCAGAGGACAAACACAAGTTCATGTGTACAGGTATGTCTACATTTTGCATAAGGCGAAAGTACACCGACTTTCTGTGGTCATGTTGGTCATACCTCCCGCAATGATGTTGTCTCTCTGATAAAAAACATGTTGATTATCCCAAGGTACTTAATGATGCGTGTCCCGGGGAGGAAGGAGAGCGGCGTCATCTTCACCACGGTGACTGAAGTCCCCCCGAACGAGCGATTGGAGCGCAGTGAGCGGGACCGTCCCTCAGGCAGCGGACTGCAGCGCTCCAAAGATGAGACTGCAGGTACAGAAAGAGCGGGGAGAGGTCCAGAGGAGGAGACAAGAGGAGGGGAGGGAAAAAAAGACAAAGGGAAATGGAGATACCAGAAAATACTCAAAAATAGTGGAAAAATTAAAAGCAGATATGAACTCTGAAGCAGAAAGAAATGTGAATGTGGAATGTACGTGCAAAAATGCAATCCTGTTAGCGTTTTCACAGCAGGAGTACCACATGTGTGTGCACTTATATGTGAGTAAGTCAGTTGTTTGTGTGTGTTAGATATATGTGTGAATTTACATGCAGTGGTGTGGATGTGAGATGCAAAGACAATCATTTGGAACGCACACGCTGCCATGCATGTCATGCAGTTGAGGCAAACAGACAAGACAGTTACACAGTGTCTGCAGACAGACAGACAGACCTGGGCACAGCTGTGTAAGTTGACGTGTGTGAATACAGTATTTGCAGTACAGTGCAGTACATGAGAGAATATTTGTATCTGGGTGCATTTGTGAAAGAGGCTTGAGAAATGGAGACGGACAGAGACAGCTATGAGCTCAGCTGGACACATATATATGAGCCAGAGTGTGAAAGATGCTTCATTGTCTTACTGCAAATTTACCTGATGTGGCTTACATCCATCAAACCAGGAACCTTCAGAGCCACACATTAGACTGTAGTTCACTTACTGTGCACAGGACTGAAAATAATACCAGTACTTGCAGAAAAGCATCGTCCCCCACCCCACCATGATCTTAAGAACATCACATGTGATCGAACTTGTAGGATTCAGACATAAGAAATTTTTAGCATTTTTACATTTTTTTAAATCATGTGGTGTTTTCTCCGCTTAAGCAGATTCAGGAATGCAAATGCAGAGCACAATCAGTAATTGTCATCAAATTGCTGCAAAAGAATCTAACCTTCACAGATCTAGTCAAGTGCATTTGGAAAAAGGGCTGCACACAGAGAAAAAAAAAAATCACTTCCCTGTACTTTGCTGTTACCATGGCTACAGGCATTTCAAAGCCAAGCTGCTGATTGTGGATCCCTCTGAGGGGCGGGGCTTAAACTTTCACACTCTAGCTAAAAAGCTGGTGCTTGATTTACGATGCTCCGCCCCCCAGCGGCATGCATGGAGGGGTGTGTGAGTGTATGCAAGCTTGTGTGTGTGTGTGTGGCTGCGTGGGATTGCTTGTGATCTTGTGTTCTGTATTTGTGGGTATGATCACCAGAGTGTGCTAGAGACTGTGTCCTCCTACTTGTCTTAACTGATCCTCGTCTTATGGTGTGAGCTTTCAGCCTAAGCAGCTCTAGCCAGGTGCTGCATCTGTCTGCAAAGGAACCGTAATCAACGGAGGCAGCTGGAGAGAACACATACATACACACACGCACACGCACACGCACGCACACACACGCACACAAACCACAGCCAAACATACGCAACAACAACAATAATGACAACAAGAGAGAAATAAACAAAAAAACAAACAAAAAACAAACAAAACAGGACACAAAGAAACAAACAGAAGAACAGAAAAGAACAAAAGAGGATGAGGTTTGGGAGCGGTGCAGGATAACTCTGTCCGAGACAAAAGGATGAAACGTCAAAAACAGGGCAGTGTAGTAGTTTTGGTAGCAGGGAGGTGGGATACAGGGAGATGGTGGATGTGAAGGGGGCTTACCTCTGGGTGAGACGTTAGTACTCTCTGGGACACCTGTCACACACACACACACATACAACGTCAAAGTCTACCTCTGCACTTGACAGAAACTGAGGAGAGTTCAGTCAATTCCGCCCTGTACCAAACCAAGCAAGAGTTTTTCGATGCTTTAACCACCGTCCCAAATCGAAATGTTCTGAACGTCAAAATGTTCCACCTATATTCCGTACTTGCTGTCCTTGATACTGTGTTCAATTCATTTGAATGGAAGGTACGCTACAATGCTGTAGGAGCTTGACATCTCATCTAGAAAACATCATACTGTCATCTAAGTTCACAGCAGAACTGAACACACTGGGCTACGCCACATCACTGTTTATTTACCTGCTGAACGAACCATAACCAGCTGATTTTGGCAGAGTTTTGCAGCTGGGGTGAGTAAAGAGACTGTACCTGAAGTGTTAGTGGAGGAGATGGGTAATGCCTGTTAGTGAAGCAGGGCAGAGGAGGAGGCCAGGAATGAAATAAAACAAAAATGGTTAAAGGCTACCTGAGATTTTGGATGATGGCTGAGTGTTGGATGAGTCTGCACACAACTCCAAGGGAAACTGCAGCTGCTCTTCAGTCTCACTGCACCCTGAAATGATACACACACAATGACCAGGTGCTTTCATTTCAAACACACAATACAACAGAAGAGATACACCTTAATGGGTTATACTGTTTTGAGTAGTGTGACTTTAAAAGGATAGTTCTGTTTTTCTGTTTTCTTACTTCACTACTAGTGAGACAAGCAGTTTAAAACCTTTTTATGTTTATGAATGCAGTTTCAATGTTTGGTGAATACTGACATTAGCCATCTTGGCTCAGTTACTGCATGACTATTGGATCAAGAAACAGCTCCACTCAGAGATATAGCTTTAAAATAGTCCTAAGATACAGTAGATTACTTGTCTAATTATACATTTTGTAATTTACACATCACCAACTTAACTAGCAACAAGGAAAACACATTATATCCAACTCCTATTACATTTAACTTCATGTTCCATATATATATATGAATGTATATGAATATCTATGAACCGGAAAGTTTCAAACTATAATATGATTAGGATTTCGCATATACATGTGGAAGTTTTGTCAAAGATGTCCCTCCCTGTATCTGAGAGCAGAGCTTTGTAAAAAATTATTATATTATATATATTTATTTATTTATTTCACCAACACCTCCAAATAACCTTAACCAGTCAGACCTTTGGTCGTAGGCTTGTCTGCTGGCTTCTCCTGAGTCTGGTCCTTGTCAAATGTCATGGCAACTGCTGTTACTGTGACCTGGGAGGCAAACAGAAAGCGGTATCGAAGTAAATATTGTGTTCTGTTCTATGAGTAATGTCATGAATGAGTGGTGGTCTGAGACTTGTCACCTGTATGAGTTCTTCTTCTGGCACTGCTACAGTGAAGTTGAGATGACAAAGACAGCAGGGGATCATAGAGCGCAACTTGAAGTAAAAACTCTGAAACAAACATGATGAATTGTAGATTGTAAAACACAAACACTGCAAGTACCATAGTACAGTATGCACACAACTAAGTCACTGTGTCCATTACAAAGGATCAGCTTGGTACCACATATGGTGTAATGACTTATTGATCAATAAGGGTTCCTCACCTTCAGCAGATTCTCACATAGGTCAGTGAAGATCTTGTTCAAGCCTTGGTTTGTAAGATTGGCATTACTCAACCTAAAGACCCTCACCGACGTAAACATCTGTAAACAGTAACACAAACACATCACATAAACTAACTGAAACTAACGAAAATGTAGATGGCCTCTAAATAGAATAATTCAATTTACAGTGGTGTGAAGATGAAATTTGTGAAGGAAGCAATACTGTAAAGCGTGACCTGCACTCCTGAAGTCCAGTTGTAAATCCCAGGCATGAGCTCAGTGTTGCAGCTGTAGAAACCTGGAGACATGAAAAAGGGATGATAAAGCAGAAAAATGCCAACATTTGTTGGAGATAAATGACTGATCATGTGCAGTGATGTACTTTAATTGCTGTGGAGTGAGCAGATGGCACATACCTGTGGGTGGAGAGGCGTCAGTGAGAAGGGAGTGGATGTCCTCCACAGCATCAGTGTCATCAATCTATAGAGAAGACAGTAAACAGTTACACTTGTATGTCAAAAAAAGGTGCATACAAATATATAATTTATTCTTATAGATACACACCTCCAGGACAAAGGCATCCTTCTTGCCATGGGAGAGGTCCAGTTCTGACAGCTCATCTGAGCTCTCCGAGTGGGAGCGCAAAAGTCTGGATCGTTGCCTCGGTTCAGGGATCGGAGAACCCACCACTTCCTCCGTCAGTTCCTGAAAGCAAAGGGACACAAGGCCTCAGCAGACGGGATGTCAAGGTGAACACCAGACCACCACAGCAGCCCACTTCTGCATCTCACATCTGTCCAAACTGTACAGCTAGTGGAAGGACTATGTTAATAACACACCACATGCTCACACTCACTCAAGTACCCAGTCAACTGCACCATTAAACACACATGGCTTTTGTTAATTTGAGTATGAATCTGAAAGAGTAAGGAGTGGTGCAAACACATACACGCACACACACAGCATAAAAAATACACAGGTGAGAGAGTGAATGGGCAGGATATACAAATACATTAACACAAATACAATGAATCTACAGTGGTTTGCCCTTGAAAGGTGACTCTGGAGTGGATTACACATCATCCTGCTCCCAAACGTCCCCAGTTAAGAGCTGTTACACAGTTATGGTAAAAGGTGGTGTAGTATTGCGATTAATAGAGTGAAATATTTGTCATGCTTTGCTGTGTCTCACAGCAAAAAGTTGGCGTGCTCAGTACCATGTTTATGCCGCCGAACACCTCAGGGTCCAGGGCAAATAATTTCTTCAATGACCAGAGAGAGACAAGAGGGGTAAGTTTATCATGATCCACAAAGAACAGAGAATATATAATGTATGATTACAGGACTTTAACACTGGAACAGAGAGGATTATACCCAAAAAGATGGAAACAGTTCACCATGGAATGTATCTCTTTGTGTAAAATAACCACTATGTTTATATTGTAAAATAAACCTTGATATAACACTTTATGTGTACAAATTAAAGTATTTAATGGCAATAAACTGGGGATATTACTATCATCCATTATCCAAGCCCAAATAATAAATTTTGTCAAAATTTAGTTCCTATTGGGCTTATTTGCTTACGTAACAAACAGGTAAGTGAATGATATTACAAGTATTATCAGAGTAAACACTAAGACATTTGAACAAAACCATAAAACATTTTGGTTGAAACAGGCCCCCAAAGCTTTCTATTTACTTTTGTGTTAAAAAGGTTTCACACTGACTAGTAGGGTTGTGGGCTAAAAGGAGTCATACCTTCCCAAATGACAACCCTGGCCACTGTAGTGTTGAGATGAAGCATTGTAAGGATCTATTTTGCAGTGAAAACCCGGCACAATAAAAGGGAGGATTTGCCGACTTCATCCCAAAACTTGTACACAATACATGTGTCGTGTGGCTCACCGGAGGGTTTATTTGATAGAGCTCTTTGTTCTTGGCTATGGTGTCGTTGATCCTTTTCTGGATGGTGAGGATGTGGTGCTCATTGCTCAGGTCGCCGGGAGTCTTCCCTGCTATCTGAATACCCCCTGGTCCCGGTAGTGCTGTCAGGTACACTCCTGTAGCAGACTGAGCGCACACGCACACATACACACACATACAGACACATACAGACACACAAACATACATACTTTAAGGACCATACTCCAAAAAAAACGTATGTATGGCTAATTAAACTGTTAATCTAAAATGTACATACAGCCAGACCCAGGAGCATGTTCTCGCCAACACTGATCTGTATGTGTAGGCCAAACAGGGCGTTCATGCTCCGCAGCTTCAGTTTGTTCATCAGCTGAGTGTGCAGCTCGTACTCCATAAAAGGCAGCAGGTTGGAGATGGCCGTCGCATTAACCTCACCCTGGGCTTTCTTCTTCAGACGACACAGTCTGGGAGACAATAAACACCGGCATTAACTCCCTTTTATCAATGTCTTTGATGTAAGGCTCCATTTTGGAAGGTGTGTTGTTCAGCTTACACGCTGCCACTGGGGAAAATTATCAGATAAACAATGAATCCTGAATCAGAATGACTTAACTTACCTTTAGGTAATAATTATATATTAACTAATATTCCCTGTGCTTTACAGTTCACTAGACAAAACTTTACTTATACTGTATAAATAATGCGTAATAAGCGTTATTTAAACTATCTGGCTTTCAAGTTAGAGCTAGACTTCTTTATGATCTCTTCTATTGTTTATATGTGAAGCAAAGCGCTTGGCATAAAAGATACTGTACAAGTGTGATTTCACTTTATTTGGTTTATCTCTCTTCTTTGTATTAGCAGTCATTTTAAATGGGTTTGGGGCAATTTAACTGTGAGGTGTTTTACCTGGCCTGGATAAGGCAGCCTTTCCCTGTGACAGCTGCTTCTTGTGGCATATCGATTGTTGTGAATAGCACATCAGGAACCTTGAAAAACACATAACAATTGTAATAGATAATTCATACCTTTTTCAGAAAACCAAAAGATACTGTATTGTTAGCATGTCTCAATATAAGCAAAGAAATATATTTGAGACCTTTTGTCGTCTGCAGTGGTAACAGTACGTGAGCTGGGCGGGAAACGGCATGTTGAGCTCATCATACGGGATGTGACAGAAACCACAGCTTGGGGGAGACGGCTCCTCAAACCTGCTAAACAACACACACCATCTGGTTTTAGCCTCCATGACTCGATCCAAGATGTACTGACGTAAACTGTACACAAACAAGAATCAAGAATTTATGTCAAGTTACTTAAAAGAGGTACAGACAAAAACAACCTGTGATCGGTGCTTCCGATATCCAGGCAGCCTTCGCGCATGTATCGAGGATTCAGGATGGCTGCTGTGCCTGATGCTGACAGGATACACACCTCCTCACTGTGTTGAGAGGAAATCAAGAAGGTGAGAACAGGGCGTGAAACCTTGTGTGTTAAAAACAAATAGCAAATTGGTTGCAGAAATGCAGGGGAAAAGAGGGTTAAGAGGGTAGATATTTCTCCATGTATATATTTACTACTACATACCAGATGCTCGTGCTCTCGCTGTACCCCACGACAGCATGGCAACCGAGAGCTTTGGCATGAGATTTGATCTCCTGGCGAATCTCTTCCCACCAGGCATCGCGAGTCTCTGGCTCATCTGCAAAACACCAAACTCTGAATCAAAAAGCTTTCAAAAACCGTTTCTAAACTGGCTGAATAATCTATCAAAACTTCACTTAACACTTAAGTCTGTCTTAACACTAAATTTAACCAACTGTTTAAAAAAAAAAAAAAAAAAAAAGACTGCCTTGACACATGCAAACAAGCAAACAGGAAACTAGACAAAATCTGTATCTAATCTGTTGTCTAATCTGACTGCTTTGATTTACCAGAAAATAAACAGACATCAAACAGTACAGTTTGTATTTTCTGATGATTTATGGGTTAAATGGTGTGTCAAAGCAAGCCAAAACCAACTATCATTCTGTAAAACAAAGTGACAATTAGAATGATTCATGAGAGTTGGAGTTTGATGATGAAGGCAAAGCTAATGGTTTAGGTTAGCTGTGTGTGACATTAAGTGCACATTATCTAAAAACTTATAGTCTCTCTCTTCTCTATGTCTCCTTTCAGTCAGCCGCACTAACAGAAAGGACACATGGGAGAAATACCACCACCAGCCACTGGGTATGTTTTGGCTGCAGTGGTATAGAAAGAAAATCTTGCGGGCTGGTAATAGAGGAATTACATAAAAGACAGTGTGCTTGATGTGTAAATAATGTTTCCTAACCTGGTTAAAACCTAAAAGGTTTTAAATTCAAAGGGATTGAGCCTTCATCATACTTAGGCTAAACCATGGGTGTGTTTCAATAGTCTCATGAGGCTTTGCTCTAATACCACCTTTGCTTTATCAACTTTGTTCAGAAGAGCCTAATCGTTGCCGAGTTTAATATCACTCATTTGGTAGTTCCCACTGAACACGTGACGGAAGCTGCATTAGAGTATTGAGCTGCACCCAATGACTCCCTGGGAGGGCCACATGCTGACAGAGCCCCGGAAAGAGAGAGAAACGTGGCTGCTAGGTGAGACAGGGGAGAGGAATGAATGAAGGGGAACAGAATGGGAGATCAAACTGAAGAGATGAAGAATAATAACTGATGGTCAGGCATCAGGCCCACAAGGTGGGTTCCTTTAAATCAGAAGCAGCATGTCACACAGGCACAGGCTCACTAACGTGCACGCTCATGACCATGTGCACGCTCATGGGCAGAGAAGGGCCATATTCATTCACCAGAGTCCATGAAACCTAGTGTAGTTTTTAAATGAGAAAATACTGAGTCCTTTCATACTTCCTCCATTCCCCAAGCTCACCTCTTTCCTTCCATCCCCATCATACATCCCAAATCCACTTTTAATTTTCCTCAACTGCCACCCATCCAATCAACCTGTCTTCCATCCATCCATCCATCCCTCCTTCTCTCTCTCTCTCCCTCTCAGTATGAATACGGCCCAGTGAGTTAGGGATGCACATGCCCAGTCAGTGGCTCTCTGTCACAGAGTAAACCTCCTAAACCTCCTCTGGTCTAGACAGGTTTGACCACGATGCTGATTCAGGAAGCGTTAGAAACAGCGCTGGGGACAACGTTAGGGAAGAGCTGCAGCTCTTCTGTGCAGTAGGATGAGCTGGGTGGGGGATAGCCAGGCCAGGCTGGATGGGGTGGGGTGGGGACGCAGCGCATGCTCAACTCAGCTCAGCACACACTCACACAGATTAGAGAGAGGAGAATGGCAGCTCACTGAATTCATCAGGTTTCAGCAATGCACTATCAGGCTAATGTTAAATTTGTTCGTGGATAATTAGCCTGGTCTATCGTGGTTGAAACAGAATAGAATAGGATGTCTATATTATCATTGCACTTCGTCGTATAACAGATTTTTACTGGTTTAAAGTCAGTGTTGTGAGAGAAGACAGAGGTTTAACTTCACTGAGCTGCCATCACTTCTGTGGGTGAGAGCAGTAAAAGGGGGGAAATACCTGCAGTGACACTATTCCAGTCTAGCAGTTTGTATGAGCGCGTGTTACCCAAGGCTGGGCCAGAACACACCGTTAGTACAGAAAAGAGAGAAAAAGAAAAGAAGAAGACAGTCTAACAAACAAGCACAGCACAACAGCAGCACTCCACAGTCACTACACAACGACAGACAGCACTTCACAGTCACTATGCAAAGACAAACTAAATTCAAGCTTACTAAAACAATCTTAAAAAGAAAAGAAGACTGACCAGGGAAAGAGAAGAAGAGAGATGAGAAAAAGCTACAGATCTAGCCAAAATTTTAAGAAGACTTAAGGAGAAGAGAAGCTATATAATACAAAAAAGGAACATGCAGTAGCAGTCTAACTCTAGTATTCTCTCTAAAAAGGTGCCCTGTGGAGTTTATATGTAAAGAGATTTTTTTTCTTTTTGTGCATTGTTAAGTTAACAATCCTTCGTCGTAAAACATTTGCAAATATTTGCAGTATTAACATTACAAATTGTTGCATGTTACCGCCAATAATTGTTGATCGGCGTAACAGAGAGAACAAATCAGCAGAGCATGTATTGCATCACCCACATGCTCGCTTACACATGTGTCCTCATGCACAATACAAACAAAACAGGAACCCATATGTAAAAACACTGATCTATACGGCTACTTGTGGTCAAAAACTCCACAGGACATCTTTAATTTTGAGCTTTGGTTGATATAGTCTTGTCATAACAACAGTGAACAGGGCTCTCTTCAGAATGGTTTCCATGTTCAACCTTGCAATTTGGATCAGGGAAACCTATGTTGTTTTCAATAGTACAGACAGGAATACTATAGGTTTAATCATTGCATGCCAAAACTTTTCAGCAGATTGTTTAGTAAAATCATTTTTGGGTAGCTTATTTTGGTTTACCTGTCCACCTCTGAAAAGAACCCTGCTTATCCTAACCCAGCCAACAATCATCACCACTCCCCTTTTTCCTAAATTCTCAGACGTCCTTGATTCAGATTAGTCAAAGACCTTTAAACCAAGCAAAGAGCAAATCACTAAGGCTGCTAAATGGATAGTCAAACACCTTCAATAGGCAGGTGCTCGCCTAGTGAGCAAATATCTGATTGTCATTAATATAAATCTAATTTTAAAAGTCTGCATAATACAAGAAAACATTAGGATTTCAGCACAGATTAGAAGCCTATTTGAAAACTTAAGGCAGCAGAGCAGAGGCATATAAAACACCACAGTACCTCAACATAGCGCCACCTGCAGCCAACAACATCACACAACAGAAGCAGCAGGCAACAGACTGGAGCCATGCACTACTACTGCACCTCATCTCCAGGGGGGCAGCACCACAGCACACAAAAACACAGCGACCAGAGCATACACACACTCATACATACACACATACACACACACACACACACACACACACACACACACACACACACACTCAGTCAGTTGAACCACGAGGTGAAAGTTGCCCCTATCCATAAATTTCTTTGAAACAGGTGATGATCCTATCCTAACTTTATTGCCATCAATATGCTACAAAGCTGCAGCCTATTAGCGTGACCAGGAACAGCTTTCACCTGCTTTAGGACTCGTACATAACTTGAGTCTTTTAACATACTTTCTCTACACAGTCAAACAGACTGGGACTAGGACCATACACAGGAAAACTGTTCACCACAAGAGGATAATGGGCAGCATTAACTAACAGCCAACTTGCAACAAAATCAGACACTCACACAATACTGTAGGTCGATGGAGGACTCACTCATATCGTTTCACAGGACAATGGACGAGCTACAGTAGGACATTGTGTGTTTCTGTGTGCTGCACTCACCAGGGTTGTGTATGCGGTCCAGTAGCTTGACAGAGCGAGCGCTGACCACTCCACCAACATGGACCAGAAAACCAGGTGGGAAAGACGTCAGAGTGAAGAAGGGGAACTCCTGCAGATACAAAACAAATTGGTCACTTAGAGTAGAGGAAAACACACTCTGGACTTTTCCTGTGTATTTTTGCTAATAATATTTAGTGACTGCTCCACGTTTAGAACATTTTATTATATGTAATTTTATTTTTTACATGATTTCATGTATATAATATCCTGTTGTCTATGTTCAAATTTACTGTTTTGACTAGCTTTGAGTAATGTAGGTTTAAAAAAATATTTTTTTTCTGATATTTCTTTAAACGACCTACAAACAACCACTTTATGTACATACAAAAAACAAAAATGAATTCTTTTTTTTCGTACATATCGGATCAAGTTTTTCAGTGACCCTTTACAGATAATTACACTTAAAACAAAAAATTGAAAATCTTAAGAGTGTCTACAGGGAAGAATATATCAAAAATATTCAAACTGGCCATCAGACTTTAGATTTTGTCATGTGTCTGTGTATATTGACTGATTAAATCAATGCCTGTGTTTCCAAAGTCCCAAACACTACATACTGTATCTTAACTCGTGTGCAGACGTGGGCGATAATAGTGTTATGTGCCAACATGCAGCAAGGACTGAGTGTGATGGTGTATCCCCATGCAAGGTTTACCCCCCAAGGAATCCCCACTTGCTCCATTCCAGCCTACACTTGTAGACTTTAGAGCATTTCAAATAGATCTGGAAGTGATTGAGAAAGCTTGGATTTTTTTTAAATCACTAACTTAGTGATTTATTCAATCCTTTCAAATCTATATAAATGCATTTATTAGGTTTGGATTTGAAAGTGGAGGGCACACACACACACACACACACACACACAGACAGGCACACTAGTTCCTGGCGGAGGATCAAGACTCTGTTTTACATGCTTCTCCCTAACAGGACAGCTGGTCCTCTGCCTCTAGTCAAATAATGTGATGCAAATCCATGCACTCACTCACAAGAGAAGCTAGAAATAGTTGGACTGCCTTGTTAGCATTTTGGTATTCACTCTATTTTGAAGCGATCACCAGAAAACCGGAAGGATGTTGTGATTACCAATCATGCAGGCATATGTGATGAATGGCTTTCGTGGGCAGAAATCAGGTGGGACTACCACTAGTTGCTTTCTTGTCCAGTACTCCAGGAAGGTAGATAGAGCCACTAATTTGACTGACAGCTCCTCCCACTCAGAGCAAGGAGGCAAGAATGAGGTGATGAGGTGAGCGTGCTCATTCCCATTGTTGACACAGGAAACCAAAATCAGACTCAGGAAAAGAAGGCAGAAAGGAGGGAGGTGTTCGAAATGAGTATCCAGAAGGTGCACACACACGCACAGTCACACGCCCCTTCAAACCTGAAGGGAACACAACTCCTAGCCTCCAGCCCTCCACCCAACGTGTCTGTGAATCTTTTAAAGAGTGCGGAGGGTGCCAAGCAAACACAAGGACACACAAATATGCCACGTTGCTCAACCCAGCCTGCCTCTCTGAGATCTACAAACAGCAGAGGGGGGACGGGTTAGGAGTTGATTCAGACTGGGTGGTGGCGATCAGCTGTTCAGGGTGTTAGGGGAAAGGTGGAGAGAGAGAGAGAGAGTCACACTGATGGGACGTACCCTGGCGTTTAACAATAACCCAGAGGAGGACGTTCCCTGAGTAGCACAAGTGGTCAAGAGGACAAAGAAAGGGAACATTACTTGCTCTTACACAGACCCACTCCCCATTGAACACTTAACACCTCACCAGTGTACATTAGCAATCTTTCACAAAAAAAAGCTCTGTGTGCCCTGTGTGCAGACATCTGAGGCTGGCAGGCAATGCAAACTGCATGTCAAAGCATCAGCTGTATTGTACTGTATTTATTAATAAAACCGTGTTTTATTTGTTTCTTCTGTGTTTCATTTCAGTAAAGCGGCTAGTCAAGCAAGGCCCAACCTTAAACTAAACAGCATGTGAACTTGAGTGACACCATAAGCTTTTACTTGAATTTTGCTGTGGATTTCAGTCTCAAATGTCTACACGTACAGTGAGTCGGTAAATACGTGTATGAGCGTGTGTGAGCGCATCACCCTACCCTCTGTTCCAGAGCTGTCTGCGTCTGTTGTCTGAGAAGGGTCTTCAGAGGCCCTGCCTCCTTCCCGGCGCTGCCCCCGCTGCCCATTCCTGATCACAGAGGAGAGTGTGGTTTTAGTTTCGTCACTTCTAACACACAGGTCAAAGTTGATCCTTTACATTGTAGTATCGTTGTTATTATCGCAAAACAAGCGAAAGCAATTGCTGGAACTGCGCACAACACCTTAGACTGAGATGCACAATCCTCATCCTAAAACTAGCTTACTCTAAACCTTTTCTCTTATTCAGACAAATACTGGATCTGGAGTAAAGACTGAGGATATCTAACAAACACATGAAACCACATGCTGCAGAAGGGGAATCAGTCAAAAGTGTTTTTTCACAATGGAATCTGGGCAGTTATACCATGCATGTTGAGTTAATGTTTCTGATAACAGCAGTCAAGTTGAAAAAATCCTGCTGTTGACCTCGCTCCACAAGAGAGTTGCCAACGCTACACTGTTATAAGGTTCTGTTACTTGATGACACACAGCAGTCCTACTATACCGGAGGCTGCCAGCAGCAGGTCCTCAGTGAAGGACACGCTCTTTCTCAGCAAGGCAAAGTCTGAGTGGATGGAGGAGGGAGGGGGTGGGGTGGTGGCTCTGGGGGCAGTGCCATGACCACAGCCCACTGAGCCAGAACCAGGAAGGGACAGATTGTCTGTGGAGAGGGTGGGGGAGCTGGGGCAGAGGAAGATCCCAGGCCTGCATCTCACTGGCTGGGGCTCCTCTATCCAGCAGAGAAAACACATGGAGCGTGCATAGAGAAAAACAGACATATTGAGAATGGACAGACAGAGTAATGAGGAGAGTGGGCAGAAGTACCAAAAACCAAAGAGGGGTGAAAGAATGTGACAAGGAAAAAGTGGACACAAGCGTACAGAAATGAGGTTTGCAAAGTAGGGATGCCTCAATCCAGTAGGCTGGATCGGTATCTTATTTACTGGATCAAATATCAAACATGACATGATGGATCCACATTATATACACTTTCCTTGTCAGTGTCATTAAAAACAAAAATCATCTTTTTCTCTGTCAATTCTTCACAGAGCAGTATGCATATTTTCAATTTGGGTTAATCAGTGCTTGATATTAGCAGGTAGTCTAAGCTGAAGTTTCAGAATCAGTAGCAGGGAGAGTAAAAGTTGCACCAGTGCATTCCCAATGCAAAGGACGCAGATAGTCAAGTTAACACAAATGAAACTGTGAGCTAGAGAAGAAATGAAGGACAGGGGAGCAAAGAGGGGGAGAAGAAAAATGGGAGAAAACAGAAGATGACAGAGAGGAAAAAACATAAAAAAAAAGATAAGTAGAGGAGTGGAAACAAGGAGGAAGAAGGTGGGCTGCTGGTTCCCTCCTGAGGGGTCAGGGGAGCAGCTCTGGTAGGGAGGTTCTTCAGGCTGTGTGGCATCTATGCTGACCTCTGTTAAATTGTGCTCAAGTTTTCCTTAGGGCAGAGTTTGACTTAACTTACCTTGTCCTCAATGATTAACCATAATAGCTGCTAATGAAGAAGTGACCTTATAGGAACAACAGCCCCTCATGAGACACAGTGCTTCAATTAAAGACCACAACAACAGGGGAACAGAACTAATGCAGAGATCTAGTGTGTCTTCACATTATTACATCTACATTTTATACAAACTAGAATCCGTTTTTTAATACTGTGAAACAGGAAGACACACCAGGCCGCTGAGGACAAGGGGGAGGATGGGCCACAGCAAAATAAATATTTTTAATACTATTTACAATAAATAAATGTTAAATTCAACCATGAAAAAATTGTAAAAAAAATAAAAATAAAAAGTAAATAAAAAAAAATAAAAAAAATCAACAAAAATTCAAAAACCACCACCAGAGTAGCACCACAATGAGGTGTAGGAGAAGAGAGGGATGACAATGGGAAGGTAGGGACAGGGCCAAGTGTTCTTACCCGTCTTGGGCGTCAAACTGAGGTCTGTGTCTGATGATGAGGACTGGCGGCTGCATGGCTTGGAGGGAGAGAAGGGGGGAGGAGAGGAGGAGGAGGAGGGAAGGGCTCTGAAAGGGGTGGGCGGGCCAGAGAACGAGGGCAGGTCCTCACCAAATACCGGCCTGCCAGGAGAACATGACACACACACACACACACACACACACACCCACATGAGTCACCACCTCACCCTCTGAGCATTTGTATGTGTATATATGGGAGTGGGTCAGTGTTGACTTTTTAATGTGTTATTTGTTTCCTCTGGGTGAGGCGTGTGTGTGTGTGTGTGTGTGTGTGTGTGTGTGTGTGTGAGGTGCTACGGATGGCTGGGGAACAAAAAAAGCAAGCATGGAAAGCAAAGTAAAAAATTAGACAAACACAAAGAAACACACACATTAAACTAAAAGAAAAGCAACATGGCAAAACACAAGAAGGTCAGATTCAACAGAGGATGATGAGCTGAAGCATGTGTCCCAGTAGAGAGTAACAAAGGTCAGATGACTGTAGGGAGATCACAGGCCCTTCCTCAAGGCTAAAGCCACACCTTCAACACTTTTTATTGCAAACACCCAATTAAAAGGCAGAATGATGCCGTTGGGAACCTGACACCCCACCCCCTATTGTTGAAAAAACAAAACGGGTAGAGGATTCTGAGGCTAGTCTACACGTTCAGGCTTTTTCTGATAAAAGTATAAAGGCTCTGCCTTCTGTCTTTGTACTGATACTTCTGTCTATAACATAGCTTTATTGCTACGACGAGCACGACAAACTATCCAGACTCCAGGAGGTATATATATTCACTTTCCTCGTTCTATAAAAACATCACCACCTACTTCTTTTTGTATGTCAAACTTCCTCTCTTTCTCCTGTATCTATTTCCTTTCCTGGCTCTGCGTACCAGTAAAGATGAGTGTGGGAACAGAGACAGAGAAGTTCTGGGACAGTCTCTGGGAGCTGCAGGCCGAATGCACTGGACTGTTGTGGGTGGAGCGACATCCGTGGGCAAGGGGAGACCTGGGCCAATCAGCACGGAGAGAGAGAGGAAGACGGAGGACCGATTTTGGACACAAGAAGTGAACAACGTCCCAATCCAAATGTAGCCAGAGAGCCAAGAGAGGAAGAAAGAGACGCACACAACAACCAACACGACAACATTGCAATAGAGTGAAAAAGGAGACAAAAAAGGAAAAGAACAGAAAAAAAGAGGGTTTGTTTTTACGCCCTCTCTTTGCCCCTGTTATTTCATTTAAAGCCATGAGAAAGCAGCAGGAAATTCATGCATAGCTCTCAGCTAAAGATCTCAGTCTCACACAAACACACACAGCAGGGATGCAAACACAACAAAAAAACACCCAAACAGGCACATACATGAACAACAACATAAAATTAAAACAGCAACAATTTTGATAATGGATTAATTTTTTTAAGTCAAAAATCAAGCAAAAATTCCAAACATTTGATTGTTTCAGCTCCTCACATGTTCCAATCTGTTGCTTTTCCCTGTTTCATGTTATTGTAAAATGTCTAATCTTTGGGTTTGTACCATTGATCAGATATAACAAGTGATCTGAAGACTTTATTTTGGGATTTATTACATTGTAAAACCCATTTTTAAATAATTAGGTATCAAAAACAAATCTGTATCTATAACAACAAAAGTCAGGGTTACTTTAGTTCACTGAATAAACAGTTAAATAGCAAACAAGATGAGAAAAATATGTATTGAAAATGACATAATGTATAGAAAGACTTTCTTTGAGCCCTGCAGTCACACTACCAAATATCCCCATAATTGCACACCACAGGGGGAGGGAGGAGAGACAAAGAAGAAAATGAAGTTGCCGCCGCATTCAATAATCAGACCCACCATCGCTCTTCTGACTCATCAACTGGTGCCATGATTTTGTAAATAACCGGTGTATTTCCTGTCATTACCGACCCAACCCTCACCATGAATAATTTTCTCATTAAATTCACACGGGTCATTTAGGGGAGACATTACAGAATCAAAGTCATCGCCAAATGGTGTTTACATCCCTGATACACACAATCTCTCACACACTGATGCACAGATAGACAGTATAAATGCAAATAATAGGCACACATGCACTCAACTGTAGTTAAGCTTACAGTATCTGAATGGAATCACAAACTAACCACTAAATAGCCAGGGTGAGGACAACAGAACAAAGTGAAGGAACACACTGTTAGAGGCTGAGCAGAACACATGTGTGCTAGATACTCACTAAAAGACGCAGCACTAGAACATGCAGAGGCAGAGCAGAAAGCCATGCAAGAGCGGTCTAAAAGAGCAGACAAGGGAGGAGGGGGGTTGAGGATGACTGTGTGTGTACTGTACATGTGTGTGTCTCAGGTTGTCGTGTGCTGTTAGTTTCATGATGCAAAACATGTGACACAATAGACACACAAACTACAAAGGGGAATCAAAAGACACTGAGACACACACAGGAGTAATTGCGAGACTATACACAGACTAACACACAGTACATTTCGTACACACGCTCTCCCTCTCATGCACACACCGATCATCTTTCCCCATCCTCACAAACTAGATTCACAGTGAAACTTGCACATAAAATTAGGCTGGGTCCATGCTTGTGTTGTGGGTTCATACTCACTCCTTTCCATCCTTAGAAGGGGAATTGCAGGCATTGGAAGCAGGTGCCGTGTTAGGGTGCACATGTGTGTTGGTGTTGGGGGCGCTTCCAGAGCTGAGTTTGTCCAATGTACAGGCGGTACCTATAGCCCGGACCACCAGGCCTGACTCTCCCTCCAGGTCGAAACACTGCAAGTACCCCACCACGGCATTCCCACCCATCTCCAGTACTTTAAGCCCTATTTTCCTTTGTAGCTCTCCTAAACAGGAGATAACACACAGCCACATTACCAAGAGAAGAAGGGAACGGTGGTAAGTTCCACTTCCACCACATCAACATGAAAAGAGGATCACAGTTAACATTCTTACCAGACATGAGAGAGATGAGCCTCTGACGAGCCTCATTGGAGGCCCTGGGAGTTCGAATACGGTCAATCCACTGGTACTCTGGATCTTCATTCACCACAAGTTCCTCCACAAACCCGTGCACCATCGCTGCCCGGTAACACCGTGGAATGGATGTGGCTATCATTTACAATTAGACAAACATCACAGAGTGAAACGATTTTAAATTAAATGGAAAAATAGTTCTAACCTCCTTCTATCCTTCTCTTCAGCTATTATTCCATTTTAATCACATATTTTTAAGCGACAGTTGCTTGTTTACAGATACACTGTTGGCAGACATCAAAACATCAAAATTATGACATCCTCTAATTAAACATCTTTTATGCATTGCTTTGTAGGTAACTGCCCTATGTGCTGCTAATCTACATTTATGCAAACAAATTGTGTCTTATGATGTCTTTTAAGACTGTAAAAAATTGCTGTGAAGCAGATGATAAGTCAGACGTACTGCAGAAGAACTTCACCCCACAGGAGGACTGTCTGAAGCGATTCAAATCATTGAAGAGCTCCACTTTGACGAGGACATTGATCTCCCCTCGGATACCTGACAGTACATAGTAAAAAGAAACGCATTATAATAAGAAATAAACCTAAATGTAGTGACTATCATGGTCAGATTAGTTGACTATCATACCGTGGATGGTATCATAGATGGGAAACCAGCCAGAGATAACAGACGCAGCCTCACTGCACAGCAGCGGGTCAATGTCAATGTAAACTTTCCCTATGGCATCATTAGCACTATATGTGTCGTGGTCCAACACTGTGATCTGCAATGGTTCATCCTGCAAGTCCTCATCATCAACCTAGACAGCAAGAGAAGGAGAGGGAAGAAAGAGAAAAGGGAGAAGAAATAACAGTGAAGCACCTGTTAGAAATGCAATTCATTTTGAGATGCATTAAAATATTACCAGTGTTTAAAGGGAAGCTCACAGGGACTTTACCTCAAATTTGAACCATTCTGAGTTCCACTGTGGATTGAGAGATTTGGGACAGACATCTGTTTTGAATGTTGTGTTTCCAAACTTTACCTGCAAAATAAAAAGGAACAAGACACATCATTCAAATACATCATTTACTGTTTAGAGTAACAATGATGTACCAGCCATATTAAAAGCAGATGTAAAGTACAAACTGTTACAGATGTAAATGTTTTTATTAATTAAAACGAGCCTTGTTGTTCAAGCCCCTTCACTCACCTCAACAAAAGCATCAGTAAGGTCACTGGCTCGGTCCATCACAGGCAAGTGGCGCCCTGCCACAATCTTGGCCTTTAGTTTCCCAGGCATAATTCAAATTTAAGTCGATCTGTGAACAAATAATATCAACACAAAAATACATGTATCAATGGCTTTTCAACCAACACATACTGTGATCAACCCTGCTGTCACTGACAACAGTGAAGACTGAAAAGTGAGACTCCTCATTACACATGGGCATATGTTTCTGACAGTGTGAAGAGTCCCTTCCCCTGGCTAAAAAGCTAGCTTCTCTTTGCTAAACTAACATGTATCGCCTTTAGCTTACCTTGAAATAGCTTATCGAGTCGGTTCAAAGTTATCCGTTGAACTGCAGTTTATGAACACGACAGCGACTGTCAGATAGCCAGATTATGTTAGCAAAGCAAGGCTAGCAAGAAAAGCCACTTAGGTTAACTGCATTGCAGGCACAATCTCTTTAGCTCTACCTGATCGGCCATGTTTTTACAATCATACTGCAAAGCAGCCACCTATGTAACAATAATATTATCTTGCTATTCCCAGTGCAAACAGTATCGTCCTTACCGGTGCTACAATATCAACAGACAGCTGTCAAAGCGGCAGCAGGCTCCTTTTGCTCGAACATTATTGTTGACAGCCCACCGCTCGTCTGACCTCCGTGTCTCTCCCATAACACGAGACCTTAGTTCCCACTGCACCAGCCAGGAAAGAGTCCTTTCAGTTAGAAATGTTCACGAGGTGGTACTACGAATAAATGTACACTGTTACAGCTGTACAGGTGATGTTAAGACCGACATACAAATTCATCACATATGTAGCTGGTTAGCATGTAACGCCAACGGCTAGCTTGATAAGGATACAGCCCACGGTGAATGAGTTTCAGCGGTTAGTGCGCGCTGCTTTCAGGGCACCTCGTAAAATCGATCTTTCCATTTAAACTTTGCACTGCTATGCATCCAGTTGGGGAAAAAGAACATAAATAAACCTTTTAAGAAATACACCCACTGTAAAGATTTGAAAATATACACATGTACATACCAATAACTGAAAGTTGATTTTTATCTGTCCCGCTGTCTTATAAGTAGCGATACACTCAAATAAGGACTGACTTCCGATAGTACATAAAGGCAGCAGTGTTAGGGTTTGTCTTGGACATGCGCAACATTAACAACCTGGTTCATCATGCAGGTGAAATTGAATTACTCAGTTGGTGTTATAAGCCTAACTATGTTATGTAATGTATACGTTGGTCAGTTGTTTGGCTTTGGTCTAATGTCACATTTTTATTAAAATATTATTTTATACCACTATGACATTAATAACAACAGCTAAATTGTGGCAGAAGTGGATAAATCCGGTGATTTTCCACATTTTTCTTACTGTCAGGGAACCCCATGAAAACACCACAACTAGAACTGACCCTATTAAGTACCATCTGTTTTGGCAAAAGAAATGATCAAAAACACATTAGTGAACCACACCATTGCACTGGCTGACACAGTCCTTCATTGAATGTTCAAGGCCACTGTAGTTTAATTTGAGTTGATCTCAGATTACCCCTCCTGCTGCCATAAATATTCACTTATGCACCAAATCTGTGCCTGAAAATAGTCTCCAACAAATGCTCTAGTTACTTCAGTTTGAGTATTATTTGCTATCAACTGGACTACCCAATCAAAAATGATACCTATCTATATCTAAATCTGTAACCTGTTCGTAAAGATTTACAGTTTCAATAGAAACAAATGGTTGGGGCAGAGAGCTTTTGTCTGTGTATAAGTGAAACTGCATGCATGCGTGTGTGTGTGTGTGTGTGTGTGTGTGTGTGTGTGTGTGTGTGTGTGTGTGTGTCTGTGTGTGTGTGTGTATGTGTGTGTGTTTGCGTTTTTGCATATTTCAGAATTTTCAGTTGTTCCTCAAAACAAAAAAACAATTATTTGGCTGGTATGTCGTCATCCTACATTACACTGGATTACACCAGGTGGATTTGTCTGAATTAAATCATAGAGCCTAAAGCTTGTCACCTCTGTCCAGAGGGAGAAGTCAGGCCATAGGCTGGTATTTTTGGTCAGCATGTATCTATGAAGACAAATGTCTGTGCCAACCCTGGAAGTATGAGGAGAGAGTCATCACCCAAGATTAAGTTACACATATATGACCATCTATAAATGTTAATACAATCACCTTTTCTCTACCTGGACCCATCTCAAAGGTTACATTTTTTCATTAGTAGAAATCCTGTTTAACATGTCTAGCCTTGATCTTTATATGAAATAATTACACAGGGGGACAGAAAGATGATTTGAACAAGAGAGTTGTTGATCCCAAGCAGACACAATGCAAATGTTGTATTGCATGCTCTCTTGTGCTGCAGAGGACTTCACTAAACCTGGCTCTATGCAAAACAGAATATCTTTTTGGTTCATGTAGGCCCAGAAAAAAATGAACTCTGACAGAAATGAAACATTTCAGAGGAAGGTGACACCATCAAGGTCAACTCTTTCCAACCCTTAAAGGATGATGTGCCATACTAAACAAATTTTAATCATAGCACAAAGCAAACACACACAGCTAGAGATAGAGAGAGAGCGAGAGAGAGAGAGAGAGAGAGAGAGAGGGAGAGAGAGAGACACACACACAATGACCCAAAAGTGATTTAGTCCCATGCAGAAATATTGTGTTTTCAAGTCAAATACATGAGAGAGAAGAGAGAGGGGTACAAAACTTGTTCATCTCCATGTGACGACAGAGCAGCTGAAATGCACAACATGCTTTCCTAGTAATCCCACATAAACCTGTAGACATCCTGTTAGAAATAAGAGAAATATTAGTTTTGTGTTCAGCACTGTCACCTGACATCAAAGCGATGCCCTTGGTATGAATCTCAGCTGTGGTGTTTGTGTGTGTCCCACAGTCCAAAGACATACAGTACAAGTAAGGTGAAGTGCAGCATAGCCTGCTGTCACCTGGTGCATGCTAGGACTCTGACTTTGACTCTGACTTTGACCCTGAAAAACAACATACTACTATGAAGAGTGGGTGAATAGTGCAGACTGAACTCTTGATGATGTTGCTCAAGGCTGTGCAGAGGTCAAATGACACAGAGCTGGTGCATGTGTCCCTGCAGTAATAAATTTAGACAAAACTGAAGCACTGCTCTACACAACAGTCACTTATTGTCACTTGCTCTTTGGCTTATTGTATGTAACATGCAAACACATTTTAATACCTTTATTTATGTTCACGTTTTATTTGTGGATGATAAAAACTACAGTTCTTAGTTCCAGTGTTCCAAAAATGTACCATGGACCAATACCAATCATGATGTACTGCTATACTGAAAAAAAAAACATAAGCCGAGGAGCTGCTAAAACCAGTCTGCAACAACTATGGTAATCGCAGCTGTACTTTGAGTTTTGCACTAATTAGCAAAATATTAGTATGCTAACATGCTAAGCTAAATAAACATGTAGACATTATGCCTGCTCACCATGGATGTATTAAAAGAAAATACAGCCTCAATGAGCAGCTAGCACGTCTGTTGACACTTTGTCAAGTTCAAGTGGAATGTGCATGTCTTAAGTACAATTTAGTTTTAAATGGATCCTACATCTGAAATCCGGATTTGTAAAGGACCCCAGTTTTGATTCAGATAGTTTTAGACCTTCATTACTGTATTTAGCTTAGCCCTATATTGCATTCACATGAAAATTGTGTTTGATCAGCATGATTAAACTGCAAAACCAAACCAAATCTGTTTCCAGGTAGTACTGCAAAATCTGAGTATATGTTAGGTTCTGTTGTGTGCACTGTACTTGGTATGACCTTTTTTGCACCCTGGGCCCCCAACCATGTGTTTAATAGTGGGTGCACCGCATTGTGTGGATGGCAGACATAGCACCAAAAACATTATTGACAACAGCAACATGACATCTGTTGTGGAGCAACACAAACATACAGAATATATGTCTGCCTTGGTCTTTCCCTGCAGAAATACAAACAAAAGTGTCTATATATTGAAAGACTAGGGTTATAGGCACTCATGCTTTATACCCTGAAGTATACAAGCACAACTACAAATTAACAATTGTCACACGCAGGTACTGTGCAATGTTAGAAATACAGTGCCCAGACTTTGAATAACTTAATTTAAGTTTCAGACTGGATCCGCTTGGCTTGGTGATAGGACTTCATATTTTCTAACAGAGGTGATAATCGTATCAGTCAGTAAAGAGTTGTTGAGTTAACAACCGGAGCTTTCCGTTAATCCCGGTGACCGACCAATCATTTCTTACTGATAGGTGGGCGGTGTCACAATGCATGTTGCTGGAGTAGCTGGAAAAAGGAGAAGATATCACACTATGTCCTTTTTTCCAGGCTCCACAGATGTCATCCTGAATTCACTGTTAATGAGAATCTTTTCTTGTCACAAAAAATCTTTTACAATGTATTTGAATCAAATTGTCTTTAACCTGAGAAGATATTGTCAAAAAACAGTGGGCTATTTTTTTTATTTTTGAAAAACTAAACCAGATTAGTCATTATGAAAAGAGAATATGTCTTTGCTGTGACAATTGCTGGGTTAGTGAAGTGGCAAAACTAATGAGTGAAAGCTGGAAGTACAGCTACAAACTGAGTGTGGGTTCACACACACACACACACACACACACACACACACACACACACACACACACACACACACACACACAGGATGTCATTTATTGTCAATACAAACCTGCAACACAAGGAGGAACTGTTGCTGCTGCCAGGATGGGATCCTGAACAACAGAATAATTAGTCGAGTGATTCATCTTCTCAGTAGAGGATCTTCTTTGCACAGGTATAAAAACCAACTGCAGTTAAATACCATACTGATTTCTTACCCTTGTATGGTCTGATAGTGGATGTCATTTTCTTTTAATCACTGGACAATTTTTTTTTTAATCTAGCAACATCCTAATTGTTTCTTTCTCAAGTTCAACAATGTCTGATTAGTAAGTTCTGTCTTCACACAATTTAAGAGTTGATTTTTCCAGTGTGTTTATTGGCCTATCATCTAATAACTGTTTCAATTCGCTTGTGTATCTCCGTTTTTTCTGGTCCAACAAACTCCACATGGCCATCACAGCAATGTAAGTTACAGCATACATGTCTTCCCATCCTATCTAACCTGAGTAATGAGGAAAAGCAATCAGAATTTGATGCTTAGTATAGCTTTAATTCCTTGTCTTTATACCTTTTCTTCAGTACACACCAGCACCCATGGCCCCCAAGGCGGAGACAAAGGTAGTGATACCTCTTTGAACTTTGTTTTTGAGTAACAGCCACATTGTGCTAACCTGTCAAGTAGATAGTTATGTTTTTGCATGTTTGCATGGCTGTGCCTTTCCACTCAGCTTAACAGATTCCCTGGAAGAAAACAGTATCACAACGTAAATGGGTCTTCTCATGATAAGATAAGATGCAAAGTTTAAAAAGACAAGTTACATTTTATATCATCCTTTCATACTATATTAAGTATGTAGTGTCTCATAAAAAATGACTCAAACATTGACTTTATACTTTATACTATTATACTTTAATAAGGATCAGTACATCAATACAGAAAAAAATATTCATACTTTACAGACATAATGCATGAGAAAATAAATTTATAGCCTGTTGAAGTGCGGACAACTTTCTCAAGCTGGCTGAACAGTTTGAACTAATGACTTCAGCTGTAAGGGATGTAGGATGAAACTACATCGCTGCTCAGGAGTATTTTGACACAATACCAATATTAGCATGAATTGTTTGAAAGGTCTGAGAAAAGTAAACCAGGTCTGCAAGTGCAAAAGGTTTTATATCTGTGAAGTAAACCAAGAGTTTGTACTGCTATTTATTTCAGGGTCATACTGACAAAGTAATTTTTTGTAATGTAACTGAGAAGCCACATGCATAGTATTTACTCTATTAATATGGGTCCTTGTGAGCTGCTGCTGTCTTTTTACAGCGAGTACATGCCAGAGAGTAGTGAGCATGATGTAAGAGCATGAGGTTATTACAAGAGCAGCAAACTGTACGGTAATTTGTGCTCAACTATTACAATAGATAGAAGAATATTCTTTTAATCTGACAAAGGGGCTTGTTTAAACTGCAGTACTATGGCTAAAAGGTCAGGTGTTTTATGTTATCTTTTGTGTTATTTACAGCCCAAATGCAAGATTTCAGCCTCCCGCAAGCTATCACTGAAGGTAAACACTTAACATACAAAATATACATGAGTTAGCATATTAACCCATGAAATGTACACAAAACTGACAGTATGAGAGACTACTTTCATGTAACAGCCAACATGGCTGTTTTAACTGCTGATTATGTACCAGAATCTCATATACTGTACTTCTCTCCATGTCACCTTTGACTTGACCAGATCCTCTTGTTGACACGTGCAATGGAAGAGCTGGAGGCAGAGAAAGCTGCAAGAGAAGAAGAGAAGGTTCGCTACCTGGGAGAAAAGCTTCCACCACTGCAGTTCAGTGGTTTAAACATGGATGACCTGCAGGTGAGTCACATACACAAACAGTCAGAGGAGGTAGCTGTGGTAGTTGTAGTAGTAGCAGGACATAACCCCAAAGATCATGATAAAAGGAAACAAAACAAGACCTGAAGTACTGAAACATACTGTGTATATTTGTGTTTGCTGCTGTTTTGTAGAAACTCTGTAAGCAGATTCATGCAAAGATTGATGTGGTGGATGAGGAGCGGTATGACTGTGAGGCCAAAGTCATCAAGAACAACAGAGATGTATGATGTCAAACACACTGAAAAACTTTTTTTTTTATGAACAAAAACTCATCAGCAAAGCTTTTCACCATCTCTAGATCAACGAGTTGAATCTAAAGGTGCAGGACCTCGGAGGAAAGTTCAAGAAACCAGCTCTGAGGAAGGTGAGAGTGTCGGCAGATGAGATGATGAGAGCTCTGTTTGGGTCCAGAAATAAGGGCTCCATGGACCTGAGGGCAAACCTCAAATCTGTAAAGAAAGAGGACATCAAACAAGAGAAGGTATGGCCACACAAATCACCATATACAATAGGTATCTGGCAAAAGTCAATAGTAAATGAAAGTGCAAAAACCTAGTGACCTGAATGTGTGTTCTGAAAACTTCAGGAGATGAACATGGAGGTGGGTGACTGGCGTAAGAATGTGGAGGCCATGTCTGGTATGGAGGGCAGGAAGAAGATGTTTGACGCTGCTGGTGGTGTCCAATAGAAAAACCTCTGTAGTGCGCTAACACTGAGTGATGTTTGGAACCAAATTCGATGAAAGTAAACACACAAAAAAAATAAAAAATGCTAAATTAAAAAAAAAAGAATGAAAACAAAAGAAGAAAATGAAAAAAGTTCCCTGGGAGGCAAGTGTAAGATTACATGTTCATTTGTAAAATAGCCATGTGAATAGGTATTACTATTGCTGTTATGTATAAAAATATAATAAATTTGTAAACATTGCCTCACCTTTTGTGTTGTTCACACATATTGACCACACGATAGAATTGAAGCAAATATGTAACATACGGTAACTAAACATAACCTCTCTGCAACACAAAGGGCAAAACTTGACATTGTCCTTCCACACACTTATGAAAAGGGTATTGTAGCTGTTTTTCATGTACAGTGTCTCCACTAAGGTATCCCATTGACTTACAATGACAAAGCACCAGGGATATTTTTCTGTCCAAGCCAGGATATACTTAGCCCTTCCCCCTTGACTGGAATGAATTCCGCCCCAATAATAAACAATAAACACCGTCACACACCATTGCTGTCCTTGGACTGACATCAGAGTGTGTCAGTAATGGATGGAAGTTGAATGATGGGAGTCAGCAGCCTCCAAGGAATTTATGAGTGCTGGTGAGCATCTGTGCAAATATAGTATGTACCTGTGTCTGAATGCCAGTGTACAGTCGGACTGTTATTCTTACTGTGCAGAGTACTTTCATCAACACTGTAAAATGTTCCTTGTGCACCACAGCTGTACCATCTCTCCTCAGACATGTGTTTCTTGTGTTGTTAGCTAAAAAAACCTCTTATCAGAAACCCCTCCCTATCTGAGATCTGAAGCCATCATCTAGATTCACTACTTTGGAAGAGCTGCATCATTTAGTTGCAAATTTGTGCAGATTTATGTAAATATTTAGTGATGCATTACGTTTGCTCTCCCTGCCATACAAGTTGGACAGACAATTGGGCAGAGAGCATCAATTACTGTAGGGAGGGTAATCGCCTCATGAACTCATTATATGGGTGTCCACTTTTCTGCTATTGGCTGTGTGTGTGACATTCTGACACTGCTAAATGGGTTGTGGTTCTTGTGTATGCTGTGGGTGTGTTAATGGTTCATAGGATCGGGAAGCAACATATGCTAAACCACAGCACAACACCACAACATCTGCATGGACCTTTAGCTAATACCCCAACTGAGGAGAGAACACTTCAGCCTTTGTATCCATAGTTTAGTGCCTGGTTGTCGGCAGTGTCTGCACCATCAGCTGTGAAAAAATAGAGGATTTGCACAGGAGCCTGCTGTGTTTCTGTCTACTTATGAAAAATATTGCAGCGCGTTTCTATATGACTGCTCTCAGGTGACAAACTCATCATAAATGTGGAACTTTCACCAACTACACAACTAGTTTTTCATTTAATCCAAATAGCTTTAAAAAGGCTCCATGCATCCATCCCATACACACAAAAATGATCAATCAATGTAAGTCAGAGCATGCAAAGTACTGAAATATAAGATTTAAACTCAACAATGGTGATATACACACACAAAGCTTGTTCAACAAATTGTGAAAAACTTTTATTTGTCCATAATTTTTGTTGTCATGAAATGACATGAAATGAATAGCCAGAATAGTTCAGTTCTGTAATTTCAGATGGATTTTTTTTCCCACTAACTGAATAGCATGGTAGCTATTAAAAATCCTATGCAGCAAAATAAAAATAAATGGAACATAAACATTTTTTGGAGAAACATATTCCTCAGACTTTTCAAGGCAGTGTAAAATGGAAAAAAATCTGTCCCTGAGAGAAGAGACTCCTGTACCATACACCAAGGCAAAGGTTAACTCCTAGCATTAAGAGAGATGAGGTATATCTAAAAACAACCAAATATAAGAGAGAGATTAAGAGTAACAGAAAAAAGCTTGACTGCTTTGGTAGAAAGAAAAAAAAAACATTACACAACTCTTGGCAATAAAACCATCAGCAATGTCTGGACCAGAAATGTGTTGTGTTTTCATAGCCCTAAATGACAAGTGAAATGGTTCAACATGGATCAGTTTCAAATGACTGAGAAAAGCGTTTGTTAAACTGGAATGTGAACAAATCTGAAAATGCTGCCATTAGTTTTGTCTTAAATAACAACATAAAATGACATAAATACAAGATCATTTTTCACCCACCACAATTCCTGTGTTTTACTGTCACAGTGTTGACAGTGAAAACAATATTTCACTGTGAAGAAAATGTAGATTCATAAATTCATCTGAACAATTATTCTTTTGAACAACAGCAATTAAATTCAAGAATATGAGCTGGTTACACAAACATATCTAAACCCAAGTCATGTTTTAAAATGGACTTATCCTTCCCTTAAATATTTAATTATTTTACCAGTTTTAAGTTTTTCCTGACCTGTCTGTAAAATTCACTGAGGGCTCAGTACCTGAATAGCAGTCACAGCAGAAGGCACATTTAATATAGACATGAACAAATAAAGGAGGCCACAAGTGAAGACAAACAAACAAAAAATCCTACCAACATTGACATAATAAATATAAAGTGTTGATAATTTACAACATGACAAATAAGGCTGTGTTTACCCTATCCATAATCTGGAGACAAATACATATATTTCATTTTGTTACACACACAATTTTTTTTTTTTTTTCTCCAATTAAGACTCATGTGCAAGAATTGTGATCTCTGTGTTACAGGACACTTGTGTTTATGCATCCTTGGAGTGTGCACTGCCATTTAATTTACGTTTTGTCTTTGGATCAGATCAGGTCTTGGCAGCTGGTAGTGCAGATTATCATGGTCTCAGTCGGCAACACGGTGCACAGCAGTATCTTCATATATAATATCACACGGTCAGTGGCACCCATCAGCCAGTACCATCTCAGTAGTCAACAGTACATCCAGTGAAATAAAAAGAGTGTAGCATCAGTAGTATCTCCTTAGCGATGACCTTGACTGCTGCCACTTGTAAAGTTGCTGCTGGTATTAAAATTATGTAGCGTGAGTCATGCTTCGGCCTTAAAGTGCTCTGGTTGCTGTGGTTGTAACCGTGGCAATGTCACTGTGCAGCGGCGGATGGCAAGGTCACCTGTGGCTGTGTGACATCCGCCGGTTCCACATGCCACGTTTAGAGTGATAGTGGTGGAAGAAGTTCCTCAAGTAGATCCTCTCTACTTCCAGTCCTGCCTGGAGGACCCTGGAGCAGAAAACAGAGGAGTTTGTTGTATTGATCTTAACTGGTTAGATGTATTCCTTTTGTTCTGTTCAAAATTAAAATGAGTTTAAACCTGCAGTAACTGATTGTTTTCGGCCACTTGGGGGCAGTGGAAACAAGTTGTGTCATTTCATCACCTTTTGTGTTAATGTGGCAAACTTGTTAGCAAACAGTTGCTTATTTACACATCCAGCAGTTATGGCACAACACTAATTTTCTGTTTCTGTCCACCTGATGAATGTAAGTCCAATATTCACTCAGTTTTTGGTCTAATACCAACTGCTAATGGAAAAATCAAATGCTCCACTGTGTTCAGCTACAGGTAGCCACTAACTGTGTCTGTCTGTCTTTTGGTAGCGTACAGTGGTTTTTATGAGGGGTTTTTTTCTGAAAACAGCTGGCTGCTCCTTCCAAAATTAACACTATGAGAGCGGAGAAAGTGAACCAAAATGGTAAAGTTATGAGCTGGAGAGATGAACAATGAGATTAAACTCACTATGAAGCTCTATGAAGCAGAAAAAAGTTTTCAGATGCAGTTGATAATTCTCAGTGAGTTCATCACTATGAGTGACCCCTTTTATTGATGAGAACAAACGTTATTTAAGATAGACAGTCAGCACCATTTGTCCCTAAGGCACCCACTTTGTTACACATGCATCAAAGTGTTGCTAGCTTGCAAGCTTATCATTCAAAATGTATCTATTACAGAAATGTATATCAGCCTCTTTTACTGTATTTTTCCTTATCACCAAGAAGGTTATAATATTCAGTTTCAACTGGTCATTATGGAGGCTGCAGTGCAGGACTGTTGCATTAGACTGCAACAGTTTTAGCAAGTTGCACCAGATAAACTGGCAACCAAGTGTGAGAAAGGGACTAGAAATGTAAAGGGTGTTGCTACAGAGGTTTTCCCAACAATGTTAAGGTTGAGTTCTCTAATAAGATAGTGAATAGTGGCCTCTGTAGCGACGGCCAATAGAGGAAATACAACTGCAAAGCTAAAAGGCATCAAACATAAAAATTGTATCCTTTAAATGATAAGGAACACACCTGTCGAGGAGCTCCCAGTCTTCTCCTCCCCAACGATCTGTGAAGTCTTTGGTGTTCATTCCTCCCACCGCATCCAGATCTGACTTATAGATTCCCAGTAGGCCAAAACCATTCACCTCCCAGTAACCTGCAACACACACACACTCACAAATTTGAATGACTTTAACTTGGTTACACTCACTTAAAGCTGTTTGCATATTTTCACTAGTTCTGTCCCACATCTCTTAATCTTGTGTGTACGTGCCTCACAGATTTAGTGGGCCTCACATCAATGTGAGAAAACATTTTTATTCATTTACACCTGCCGCATGTTACAACCTGTCACGAGTGGATGCCATGGTTCACTAAGACAGGTGTAGCTACTAGAGACTGTTTGTCTGAGTGTGTGTGTGTGGCTGAAGGCAAGAAGACATGGAACATGTCTTATGCAACATGTCAGAGCAAGAACAGCAGATGAAGACATGATCTTAGAGGTTGTTGTACAGTTTCCCTTTCACCTCTGGAGTCACACATATGCTCAAGTAAGACTGAATCCCTGAACTGACAAAAAAAAAAAAACAGTGGAAGAGTAGACTTTCTAAACGGGTCAGTAGTAAGATGAAGACAAAATGGAGGGGAGCACTGATGCTGAAAAGTGAGAGCATTTATCTGTTCAATGTGTGCACTAAAACAAACATGAGGAATGAAAGGAAGTTAACCTGGTTAATCCAAACCAGTTTTTTTCTCATTTATCTACATGGAATGACTCCTCTCGATCTAATCTATCGATCTAAATCTCAGTCTTCTCTCCTGTCTCCTGACTGACAATCTCCTGATCTTTTCAAAATAAGTATCAAAGTAAAACTAAAGATGGATGTGTCTGTGTTTACCTCTGGCCTCTGATGGCGTAGCGCCGCAGTTCAGTCTCATGACTATGGGAGCAAAGACCATATACCCCTCCACACAGTGTTTTCTGATGGTATCGATAATAAAGGGCGGGAAGTGGATGTGGAGGTCACACAGAAAGACGATGCTGTGGTTATCCTGAAGGAGAATGAGAGAATGGAAGGATTAAAAACAGATGTATTATTACAGTCTGTTCATGTTAGTTTCATCTTAGCTATTTATTGCTGAGTGATGTTGCCACACTTACATTTATAAGGTTGATCCCTGCTTGCAGACCAGCAGAGCGCTCAAAGTTTCCACTCAGCTTCACATATTGGTACCTGGCACATTCCACAGGCACAATTATAGTGCATACATATAACGTATAGTCAGCCACAAGATTGTATTCAGTGTAAAAGTGAACCAGACACACACAAACACATACCTGGGGAGTGAGGATTTCTGTAGAGCCTTCCTCACGTCCATATCAGTGCTGTTGTAGTCAGCGATGATGAGGTTGAAGTTGGTGTCTCCAGTTTCTCTGAACAGTTTCTCCATGTCAGCAATCAGCTGCTGCACCCATCGAGCCTGGTTTTTCACTGAGAGAGACAAAGAAACAAGAAAACTATCAACAGTCCCCAGGGGCATAAAAATCACAGTAGTCAGCTCACTTTAGTGTTTACTTGTGAGCACACGTGCATCAGTGCTGACGATCACACACAATTTTACAAATACATCAACACTTCACAATGTCATCATAACGTAGTACAACATGATGATTTGACATTAAGTAGTATTATTAAGAACTACATATGATGTAATGTCAAATGTAGAAATGCATTGCTGTACTAAATCTTTTTTTTTTTTTTTCAGGAGCATCAAATGTGTGTGTGTGGGCAGACACCTTTCTTGATACAATTTTTTTTTTTTTTTTTAAACAACCACCCAGAAAAGGATTATTAACAGTATTCTTTAGAGAAAGTGAACAATTTGAAATTTTATCTAGAACCAGGTTTTTATATCAACTTCCTAGACTCTTACAACCTTGAAGGACATTTTTGACATTAACAGGCTTAATTAACAGGCTGTCAATAATTAATTACTGAGATAAATGAAGACCTGTGTTGTGTGCTCTGTGCACAATTATTTAAGTGTGTGTCAGATTAAAATGACAACAGTCCCAGCCCAGGATGCAGCAGGCCCTTTGACTTTTCAGATCTCTTTCCAGAAAGACACTTTGTTATTCCTGTGCACTGGCTGCCATCCATCACTTCCATCAAGTGCTTTTGTAAAGGCTGACTGAGATATTTATACAGTTTTGAATATGAGGCTTATGACTAAATAACAGTACACATTGCACATAATAGAGGCCTTTCTGTCTTTGAGTAATGAAATACTGACAACAATTATGTGGTCAGGACATGCCTATCCATGTCAATATAGTACTTTATAATGTGGTCAGTGGTGACATATTTAGTTTTAAGTTGTTTAAAAATGTTTCCCACATGGTTATTATCTAAATTGCATTCATCACTTATGCCAAATTATCATGTGTCTGTACTTTAACACCTGAGTACCTTGATGATGAATGTTTCTGCAAACAGCAAAAGCCAACACAGAAGTCAACAGACAAAAAGAAGCACATCAAATGACAGCACAACGAAAAAAGAAAGTGAGCATGGTTAAAGGTGGATGTAGAGTACCTGGCACTACGAAGTGGACGGTGGCAACAGGATTCCAGCGGAGGCCCACCGGGTTACACAGCACCGGCTCAGATTTCGGCTGTTTGAAACGGAAGTCCCTGCTGCGTTGCCTGCTGTGGCGAATCAAGGTGTAGATGTACTGTGACAGACGCAGCAGCTGGCCATTCACATCTTTCAGCTGCAGCTCCAGAAGGTAGCGGCTGCCCTGGACCCCATCCACGCGCTTCACCACGTTAACCACACGCTCCAATGTGAACCGCCTGCAGGGGCAGAGAGCGCCAAAAACACACTGTGACATGTCTGCAAAACAATTATGAAAACTATGCACACAACTCTACTTGCTATTTAATTATATACTTGAAGTGCATTTACTTCCAAGATGCAAACTAATAATTCAAAAGAAATTTTAAACAATTTTTTGAAAGACCATCATTAAGTTTTTGTTTAGATCAGTGGTTCCCAACCTAGGTGTCGCGGCCCCACCAAGGGGTTCCAAGACATTTCCAGGGTGTCACAAGACAATACAGGAATTAAGGAAGAACATACAGTACTTCTTCAACACAAAATTATATTTAATTTTTTTTAGAGGTTTCACTGATTTACATTTTTGTCTTTGTCTCTGTGAAATACCGAATAGTTTCATCACTGCATGTTTCTGAAATGATTCAGATTCAACAAACTGAGAAGGGAAAATAACAAACTTTGGTTGAAATGGCCACAACTCGCAGACATATATGCAAGGGAGCAACTAACAATTATTTCAAATATGATGATGAATCTACCAATTACTTTCTCAATTGATCGATTATTTATTTGTTTTATAAAATATCAGTAAATTGTATAAAATGTCTGTTTATTATAAAATGTTTGTTATTAAATATCCCTTTTTCTCCAACCAACCAAAAACCAAAAATATCCAGTTCATTATCATAAAAGCTTAAGAAAATCAGAGAATATTCACTTTTGTGCAGCTGGAACTAGAAGAAGTACAAGTCTTTGCTTGAAAATGACTTGAATAATTATTCGATTACCAAACAATTGCTCATTAACTTGCTATCAATCAACTGATCTTATTAATTGACTAATCATTGCAGCTCTACATATATTTCAGCTGTCGGAGGAGTTGCAGGTAGATATAGCTCAACTCTAAGGGCTCACCAGCCAAAAGAAAAAAGTTCAGTTAGGTGCCGCTTGGTATCCACCTCTTACTACGGAAAAAACCTCCCCTAAACATATAAGGGACTCAGGTGATGCACTGGCACAGCTATAAATCCACTTACCCGTGGTGCTTCTCATTGAGTTGCTCCATGAAAGCCTTGACAATGGGCAGAACATCACTGGAGTCGAGCAGCAGGTTGCCCGAGACGTTGCAGTGCAGGTCGATAGAATCTGAACGCCGTGCCTGAAGGTCCAGGTGGTTGACCTGGAAGGTCTGGCTCCAGTTAACCTCAGTGTCAAACACTGGCGCAGGGGTAAGGGTCTCATCGTCTGCAACTTCAAAGTCTCCTCCTGGTCCCCATAGGTAGTCTTTCCCACCCTCCCTGGTGTCTCTCCTGTTCTCAGCTGTCTTGCGAACCTTGTCCTCCTTTCCCACTTGGTCCTCCTCTCCTTTCGTATCCGACCACTTTTTGTCCATCTTGTCTCTGCGATCAGCGATCATCTTAGCTCTGTGGATGCTACGTTCTAAATCCTGCTGCAGAGGCATATTCATTGCTATCTCCTTATCCCTGTAGCGTTTTCTGGTTTCTATGTCGCTTCGCGTTAACCTCAGTACAGAGCTGTGGATGTCTCTTTTGGGAGTGGTAAAATGTTCGTTAATGCTTGGCTGAGACTTCACTTCTCTGGTTACAATCCTCTGCTGCTTGGCCACTGTAGGCTTTTCGGCCAAAGGAGCATTCCTCTCTAAAGGTTGATGCTTAGAGTGGTTGATTCTCTGGATTTGGGTTTGATTCATTTTATGAGACCTCTGGATCTGATGCTGTTTATAGTTGAGCTGCTCTACTGGGAGTACTGGTCGTTCCTTTGCTTTAAGCTGCTCTTTGCCCACTGGTATCAGTGGATTTGTCTGTCTTGGTGTCACAGTTGTCTTTACTGATTTTACCATTTGTCTCTTTATCAGTCTTTTTCGTTTTGGTTTTATCTGTTCTACTTTTTTAACTGAGCCCCCAAGTTTTAACTCTGTCTGGTTTGTTTGCAGGTGACGTTTCGAGAGTTGTGTTAGCTCTGATAGCAGCTCATCTGGTTTCTCTGGCTGTGAGACATTGCTTTGGCCTTGCCTCCTCTGCAACTCATCTATGTGCAGTCTGGTGTCAGAAGAGTTCAGTGTGTTGTTAGTTCCTTGTATGGGTAAGGACAAGAGTTTGCGTCTGCGTTTCTGAACATAATCATCATAATCATCTCCATAGTCTGGAAAAAGTGCGTTGTCTATCTGGTCTGACCTGACCTCCATATCACTCTGAAAGGCTTCATTGTTAAACTCATCCTCTTCATATAGGACTGATTTCCTCCTCTGGAACCCAAAATCTAAGACACACCAGAAGCACAGAGAGAGAAGTAAGAGTTTAATTGATTGACAATGCAAATAGCCTATTTATTCATTTTTTCAGAAAAGATAAGAAAATACATCTACCTATGTTTCCTTTTTCCCGCATATCAGGATGGTCTAGTCTCATATATCTAGAGAAATCAAGCCTGGACATAAGGAGACAAAAAAACAAAATTATATATAATATGAGAAGAGTCTAATTTGCTTTGTGTTTTGAGATTTGATACCAAAAGAAAAATAAACACTTTTTTCCTCTGCTGTGTAAAGGATTCTCAGTAGATTGCAGGTGCAGCCGCCTCTATTGGTGATACTTCACTCCTACTGTAGTATTTTGTATAGAATATAACATTATCTCTTTCTAAATATGGATATATAATTTATCTTATTTGTCAAGTTTATGTCCAGAGGTCTCACATCTTCATGTAGTAGGGGCTCTTGGGGTAGAAGCAGCTGTTCTCCGACTCCATGTTGGTGAGTCTGGTGTAGTCATTGGGGTAGATGTAGGACATGTGGACCTGGGTGGATGAAATGAAATGACATGCTGTTAAAGCAATGAGAGCTTACTGTTTGCTCCCACAAAGTGATGAATCGTGAGGTCTTGTTTAATAAGGTTTATCCAGCCACATCCACAGGGACCAAACAGGTGTGTGCAGAGTTGCAATGAGAACAAAACACATGGTCTTTTTTATATATAGCAGATCTCAGAAATGATGTCAAGTAAGGTTCATATTTAAATCATAACTAAAATATGCACTCATTTAAAGAAATAGTTCAATATTTTGGGAAACAAGAGAAGATCAGTACAAATTCTATCTTGTCTGTTCAATACAAAAAAAAAACAAAAAAAAAAACAACTACATGTTATGGGGTGTTATGTGCAGGACCATGTCCTGGAGTCTTGTCATCACCAAAAGGTTGCCAGGCAACCAGCAGAGACGAAGAAATAATGAGACTCTAGTAACAGAGGAGAAAGAAACTGAGAGAAATCAGACACTGTGCCACTAAATGTTTTTTTCTAATGGGTGCAGCATGCCTTGATTCTCTTTAATTTGGTCCTCGGGAGGCATTAAGTATGCTGTCATAATTTAGATATGTGGAATAGACAACAATGAACAGTAACAACTTTAAAAAACCAATTCAGATCGGGCCACGGAAGATGGAAAAAGCTTGTGTATCACTGGGGAAAAATAAACAAGAAACATTATATCCTCAGTGCTACTCCGTTATCTTTTGCAAGACCATAGTTCTCTACTTCCAACGCTGTTTTCTGTATTATATTTTTTGTGTGAATTATGAGCTCTGAATGAAGCTCAACCAGCAGAAATTTAAGTTTAGTAGACAAATGACATAAATACATACAAACTGCAGTCCTTGGTAGCGGAGCAGAGGAAAGTCTTTGATAGTGTAGCTGGGTTTGTACGAGCAGTCCGGCAAAATACCTTGTAGGAACTTGCTGTTTATCAAAGGCACTGCAAACAAACAACACAGAGGCAAGATCACTTTGTGCATTTAGCAGGAGGAAATAACTTGCACAATACTTGCATCCGGCACAGTAGGAAATGGAGGTGTGATTTATCTGTCATGTGGCAGAGAAACAAAGCAAGAGAGTGAGACGTCTCTCACCTTTGTAGAGAGAGTCTCGTGGGTCTTCCCTCATAATGTCTGCTGCAGAATCGTGCTGTTTCGTGGGGATGTGTTGGTGGCTTGCAGCCGTCTGTGGTATATGTGCAACGTCACTCATTAACAAGGCAGACTCATCTGTGGGGTGAAGACACAGGCAAACAGGATAAGAGAAGTACTCTGTATTTACTGTGAAACAAAACCAGACTTGATGTGCACTTTAAGCGTCCTCGCAGAACACGAAAAGGCAACAATCTTGGATTATGACACACAGTGTGATGGAGATTTAAGCTCTCTAAGCTCCAAACTAATAAAGATTCACTGAGTAATGTCTTTTCAGGCAGCAGGAATGATGTGTGGGCTTCTGTGTACTTACTAACATAGAGGGAAATGTGCTTGGATTCAATAACCATGAACCTGAAGCCTTGGTCCAGGAGCTGCCACTGTGTGAAAACAAGCACAAAGAACTGCATGTCTCTTCCACTTTTTTGCTCACATTGCACATAAAAATTAGCACAGACTTGATATGAGAGTTGGAACCAATGAAATAAGACGAGACAAAAGAGAGAGGCGATTTTCTCAGTGTCTGTGCTGAGTCCAGCTACTTACTGCCACCTCCACATGGTCAGTCCCTTTGTTGTCCTGCTTATGGATAACTTCAAAAAAGTACCTCCTCTCAGCAGACAGCCTGTCGGACAGCAAAAGGTCATATTCAGAGCAGTAATATAGACATACCAGACATAACCTAAAAGGTTACACACAGTCACATAACTTCAACTACAGGACCTGTGTCGATCCTGGCTGGTTTTGCTACTGTACATAAAAGTAAGTAAATTTGAATAATTCATTTAGATTTGGAAAAGTGTGAATTTGAAAAGGTATTAAATAGATTTAGACTGTTTGTTTGAAAATGGGTTCCCCAGCCTCAGCTTTTGTCCAGTTGATGGAGTAAACAGACACCTGATTGTAAATGTTGATTAGATTATGGACTGAAGGAAGTAAGAATGACGGGTTTTTAATGTACAACAAAATGTCATCAGCATATGAACTCATTTTATGTGGTGGGACTTTTACTGGATGCCCGTGATGTGGTCACATTGTCTAACAGAAGCTGCCTGAGGTTCAATGAAAATTGAAAACAGTAGTGGGGATGATGGGCATTTTTGTCGAGTGCCTCTTTGTAATGGAAATGGTTTTCATATGACTCCATTGGTTATAACAGAAGCAGTGGTTGAATTGCAAAGTGTTTTAATCCAGTTGGTGAAACATGGCTGAAATCCAAAGTGAATTAGGGACATGAAGAGAAAGGACCAGTGTACCTTGTCGAACACCTATGATGAATGGTGGTTTATTTGCGTATGTGTTGTTCTTGTCTGAGGAGTTTCTCCCCTTAATGAAGCTGTTTTAATCATTGTCCATTAATGATGAAATTACAGATTCCAGTCTGACTGATAAAGCTTTGCTTATAAATTTTGTGTCTGTATTAACTAATGATATGAGGCGAGCAGTTGGTGGGTTTGGTTTTGGGTAAAGTGTAATATAGTCAGCGTTCATATGATGGGGTATGGCTTTATTTTGGTGAATTTCAGATATCACTTTAAAGAAAAGAGGTGAAAGAAGAGGCCAAAATTGTTTATGAAATTCTGCTGGGTAACCGTCTGGTCAAGGTGATTTATTGTGGTTTCATCTAGGGAGAGAGGTTCTAGGTTTTCTGATTGGGTTTGGCCTAAATCATAACTTCTAGATATAATGTTCTCCCTCCTATAGGTTTGTCCTCCTTGAGTATCTTCAAATCTTTTCAGTACAAATACTTCTACTAGGCACATATGTACAGGAAATTAGTGTTGATCTTAATTGCTGATGTTTTTGTTTTCAGTTTAGTGTAGATTGTGAAGCTCACAGAACTGCCTGCCCGCTTTCAGTAAACCACATGTCAGTCAAATTTTTTCCACCACATATGCTGCAACAGTAATGTTGATGTGTTACTGAGTCAATGTTTCTCAGTTGGATTCCCAGAAGCCCATATATGTGTTACTAGATTAGATATGCTTATGTTTAGGCATCCGTGTCAGTGTGGTTAAAAGGGCACTGCTGCAATTAAGTGTTTCCATTGTAAGAGACAGATAAATAGATAAAGAATTGTCAATGTTGGTGAGGCAGAGGTTGAGATATCTTTTCTTTTAATCCCCTGTATAGCACAAGCTCTTCAAAATTATGGATCCTACAATTCCCATTATGCAGCTCCAGATTTTATTTTTGTTTACTCATTATACAAATGTTTTCACAGGCTGAGTAGTACTCCCATGTGATGAGTAAACTGATCCTTTTGTGTAAAATCAGTGGAGTATCCCTGAAGGTTGGGAGAATTATATGATAATTGCAGACAGTTAAAGGTCTTACTAAGAAATGGGGTCCTACATGAAAACATGAAAATATGAACACACACACACACACACACACACACACACACACACACACACACACACACACACACACACACACACACACACACACACACACACACAGAACTGTGATTTCAATCACATTTATCTTCGCTGCTGATTTGACAATAAACAACTCACCTAACTGGTCTGGAGTTCTGACTGGCATATTTCACAAACTCACCAGGCGCAGTCCACTCTGTGCCAGTCTATAAAAAGAAAACCACATATGCAAACAAATATTACATTGGCACAAATGAGATGAAAAATTACCCTTCGCTGCTTAGGAAGAAGAGAGGCACGCTTACCTTTCCAACCCATGCCAGTAACTGTAAGTTGAGGGGAGATTCATCTGTGCTGAGCCACAGTTCAGAGTTGTCATTAGAGCTCAAAGCAAACACAAACTCTCCTGAGAGACAGGGACAAAAGAGGACACAAAGAGGTAAGGAGAGAGACAGAGGGATATGTAGGACACGCAAGTGCGGTAACAGACAGAAACTAGATATAAAACTAGATGTTGTACCGTCAGTATATGGATGCAGATAGCCAAATATCCTGAGCCCATAGTTGGTCCAGCCGGGAGAGACGGCCAGCTTCTGCACTGTAGTCCTGGTCTGAAAGAGCGGGGAAAGAATCAGTCATGATGCTTACTCAATGTGAAACTACATTGTGAGTCCAGGGACATGAGGATCTAGCATGTGGATGTAGAATGCACCGCTGAGTGAAAACAACTGTATGTGTGTGTACGTGTGCTTGCCTATTCTGTGTGTGTGTGTGTGTGTGTGTGTGTGTGTGTGTGTGTGTGTGTGTGTGTGTGTGTGTGTGTGTGTGTGTGTGTGTGTGTGTTTACAGGGATGTCTTCTTTGCCACATTAAACACCCAGCTGCATTTCAGTCGGATGAACAATTGCATCGTTATCTTTCAAAGACCATACATAAGAGGGTTATATATGATAACTGTATGTGAAAGCATAAACTTGATAATGGCATGCTCTGCTGTAAAACCAGATAAGAAAAAGTTTCCGCCTCAATTCAGATATCATCACTTAAACCAAAAAGAAAAATACATATTCATCTTTCTTTCTCGGAAAGTGCAGAAGGTACTACTGGTTTCTGAGTATGTTCCCACATTTCTAAATATTCAAAAGTAATATCTAAAATGTTGCTAAAAGCTGTGACACACAAAGACATACTGTGAAGCATTAGGGTTGGAGACTTGGGGATCTAAGAAGACTAAAAACATGTACAGCCAAACTAGCAGCTGTGTGAGGCTGTATTAAGACACATGGGTGCTTGGAGCAAAATTCTAATGTCACATCATCATAGTAAAACGCTCACCATTGCAGTTTCCCAGATAATACTACGTAGTGATTCTAAGCTTTAGTATACAGCATGTTCACACTGAAGTGAAAAAATGAAGTATAATCAGAGCAGACGGCATGAATAGTAAAGTCGATCTTTTTGCCATTCATGTACACTGTACAAAGGAGGTATAGGACTGCTCAGACTTGAAAAGAATCAAAACAGCTTCAAAAAATCTTGGAAAGCATAAAAAAAGTATTAAATCTTAGTAAAAACACTTTTATGTCTTCAAACTGCCAAAACAGTGAACTATGATGTAGTGCATACTGTACTGAATTAGTATGTAGTATGAGCTGGGACCCAGGTCATGGCAATCCTAACACACCGATTTTAGCATATATTAAATTTACCATTTTAACCATCTTAGTTTAGCATGTTAGCATGCTAACATTTGTTAATTTGCACTAAACACAAAGCAGAGCTGAGGCTGATGGGAATGTCATTAGTTTTGCAGGTATTTAGTCATAATAGTTTTGGACTAATTAAAACTTTGACCTGATGATGTTGCAAAATTAAAGGATCATCAAAGTTATTACAGATCATCCTGAGAGAGACATAAAGCTCTAAACTGAATATCATCGCAATCCATCCAATAGTTGTTAAAACGTTTCACTCAAAACCATAAATGAGAACCTCATAGTGGCGTTAGAGGAAAGGTTAGAGAATCACTGAAGTCAGTAGGATTCATCCTCTGTGGACCATGAATGTCTGTATAAAATTTCATGGAAGTCTGATAGTTGCTGAGATAGTTCATATTAATTAATCAATTAAACACGCTTAATGAAAGCTGAGTGACCTGCTACGATAAGGATCTGACTCACATGAGGATACAGCGGGTAGTGCAGGTTCTTGCGGAGCTCAGCTGTAGAACTGCCACACCAGTCCTCAAAGACATGCAGATTGGCCTGTCCCTTGTACTGTAGGAAGAGAGAAGAGAGATGATGCTGCGAAAGCACTGGTGTTTGTGCTGCAGTATTTCAGCCGTACAACAATTAACCATCTGGACTCAGTACTTAGCAATCTAAAACCAACAAATACAGACTTCCTTAAATACCACTTGACAATACAATGACAAGAGTACTGGTTTCAACTGTCAACCAGTTCCTACGATCCTGCCCACTTCTTACTCACCCAAATTACAAAACAACAAATTTTCTCCCCCACCGCTGATGTTTTCTAGCCATGTAGATTGTGTGGTTTTATTCGCTCAGGTTGTGAGATATCCATCTCGAAGATTTATTCTGCCTTCACCACAGTATAATGGAGATGAATGAAAATGTGTCTGTGGAGCTCATTACATCAAAGTAAGGCTTATCTTTACAGAAACCCATTACTACTACAGATAATCCAGACTTGACTGTGGGGAGTGTCCCTTGTAAATACTATAAGAAGTCGTCCCTATAAAAAACGCTGTCCGTTCGTTCTGTTACGGTAGAGTCATAAATCTCATGCAGATGTCTTAAGTCAAAACTAAAACTATTTTCGTGGCTAGATATATATCTAGAGTGTAGCGAGTAAATATGTTTTCTGTGTCATTTGAATAAGCTCATCCTTTGAGTAACATATGCACAGAGAGGTGGATCACAGGAACTGGATGACAATGGAAACCACTGTCAAATTTCTCTTCCTCAGTTACAATCACTTCCTTGAAAGCCAACAGGAAACATTGAAACACACTTTCACAAGTGATGAAGCAGTCAAGTTTCAGCAGAAGCCCAGATGCCCTGTAAACATACACCTCTGTGACATCTGCTAAAGAGGCCATGTTATCTGATATCTGTGTGTGTGTGTGTGTGTGTGTGTGTGTGTGTGTGTGTGTGTGTGTGTGTGTGTGTGTGCTGACTTCAGCACAGCAGCAGACTACTGCAGGCCAGAGCCAAAGCCTTAGTATTTCATTAGTCCAGTACTTCATCAGATTTCATTGGTGCTCAAGCTAAAGACTGTGCTGTCATCAGCACAGTTGGTTAAATGTTAGCATAACCTTGGCTCAGAGGGTGTAAACTGACTCACAGTGCTTCACAGGTTCTGTGCAGCTTGTAATCTCTTCATCAATCATCAACACACCTCTTTCCTTTTGTTTTCCATATCCGTGATCAAAGGCTATTTGAATCTGAGGAGCTCATTTGCTGTCAAGCTCCAGCTTATTTTATTTCAACCACTTTGTCTCTCTGTCCTTCCCCTAAGGATTGAGATGTAGATGTAGAGCACTACATCTGTGAGAGCTGTGAGATTTAATGGGAGTTGCATACTCTTAACATGTTCTGGAGTCACATCACATTCACATCTTCTGTTTTTGATGGAACATAAACAGTTAAGGTTTAGCCTGAATTTACTGCAGCATTTGCAGATGTTAAAAACCCTGTAACCTCCTCTGACTTATCGGAAAACATGTTCTGTTATGGGGTGGCCAATATGTCTAAGATATTCTATAACAGTATCAGTAATTTTACCATGTAAAGTTGATGCTAATCATGTAGAGCTGCAACATTTAGTCAATCAACAGAAAATGAAACATCACCTCAGTCAAACTTCTCAGTTGTGAAGTATTTCTGCTTTTCTGTGACATATGTCAAAAAATCAAATATCTTTGGATTTCGTCTTGATGTATGAGCAAAACATGACAATTGAAGGTGTCACCCGAGACTTCAGGAAACTGAAACTGAGTATTTCTTACTACTTTGACTTCTTTTAATCTTGCAGATTAAAGTGATAATGAAAACAATCATTCCTTGCAGTACTAAAATCATGACTGTCACTTTTCTGGAAACTCAATTGAATCAGACTTATAGTTGAAATCAATTAAAATAAATGTATTAGTTAAAATTAATTCAATTAATCAAATACCTAGAAAATTAAGGTACAACTCATTAACTGCTTTTAAAATTCGACAACCTAAACTAGAGATTTTAGCCCTGGTGGCTCAACTGGTAGAGTGCGCACCACTTAGGCTCAGTCTTTACCGCACTGGCTATGGGTCCGAGTCTGACCCATGGCCCTTTGCTGCGTGTCATGCCCTCTCTCTCTCTCACTGTCCCTATCTGAATAAAGGCAAAAACTGACAAATGTTTGACTCATCATGTTTGATAATTCCTTTTAGAGTGTGAACACCATCCAACAAAAGACCAAGAGCGCACCCACACAAACATGATCTCTGGGAAGATTATGGTGTTAATGTGAAGTTTGATTACATTGGTTTGTAAAGCCAGAAAAAGCAACAAGTGAAATATGAGGTGCAGGCAACTGGTCAAAGTACAGACCTGCTTAATATAGTGGAAATATGATAACCCTAATACAGAGCCGTGGAAGCTGGTGAAGCAGACTCTGCTGCAGGAACCATACTGTACACAGAGGAAAACACACCGAGGTGGGAGGGACGGGGCAGGCCCAGGCAGGTTATTGAAGGTTCAAAAGAGGTGAGTATTTAAGAGCAGGACACACACACACACACGCACACACACACGCACACACACACGCACACACACCTCTGGTTTCCAGGTTTGTGGAATATAGCTGGTGATCCATGCAGCTGAATCCTCCATGTGGTCTGGTTGATGGTCCCTTCTGACCTGGGAAAACAAACATATTAAAGTCACAGACTAGGTCTCCTCCACCCTTCTTTGCAAAAACAGATGCCCTTGCATCACCATAATTTCTATTACCACTCCTTTTTCCATGCACCATTCTTACCCAGTTGTCGAACATGGCGGCCCTCCAGCTGCTGCTGTCAGCATAAGGATTCATACCTAAGGAAGTGGGTGAAAATATTAAGAGCAGCACGTAGGGGTGACAGGCAAATATACAACGACTGTGCACAGATGGGCAACACTGTGACACTGTCTCTTCTACTGTTTGAAAGTGATTTGGGAGTTCCCCAGGGGGGTGGAACAGATTGTTTTTCTTCTAGTGGCTTTATACTGACTTTGCATTCAAACAAAATGTATTCTAATCCAAAATTAGCATGTGGCATGATCTACTTCTTGTTGGATGGTGGCACAGGAAAATCAGTGAACTCACAGAGGGTGTGTGGAGAGGGGGAAGGACTCATGAACATTAATGAATGACAAACTCTACAAGCAGTTAAGCTGAATCTCAAACACTGCCGCTAAAAACTTGGCACTGACACCGTTCTGCTGTAACCACAGAAAACCACAGGAAATTACTTTAACTATGTAGACAACCATCAAATTCAGTGACATAACTAACTTGACTGATGCTTGGGTGGGTCACTTGGATGGGTCGCATACTATAGATGTTACTAGATTCCCAGTCTTTGTTGCGCAAGATGCATTTCCATTCATTTCTCATGTGCTTATGTTGCATGAACAATGAAGCCCAGTGTCCCAATCAGAGTCCCACCCATTCCCTGTTCCAATTCAATGCTGATGGCCGCTGAATGTAACTTATCTTAAATCACAGCCTTCAATGAGCCACAGAAGCACTCCTGTGGTGGCAAAAATCTCTGGCACCACTCTGGCAGAGCAGATGCAGAAATCTTACTCTTTTGAACCTCTTTTGTCATCTTTCGAATTAGAGGGTAGAATGTATTTTAAAAGGAGGACCTCTGTGTTTTTTTTTACGAGCTTGTGGTGTCAGTGAATGAACTGGGGTTACAGTGCTTGTGGATACCAAGTCTGTCATCATCACCGGGTGGAGAGCTCCAAACACACACACACACACCCTTTGAGCCATGGTGTTGCCAAAATTGAGCCACACAGTAGTAATTCTAGAGTGGGGGTTAAGAAAAGCAAGAGCAGGGTATTTTTATCCGCCTCCGCCCTCATCTAGTCTTCTTACAAACGCTGCTTCTGTTGCCTTTCCTTCACAATATTTCCCAAAGTACTGATGATTTATTAGTTAATTAGTTTGTTTTGTTTTTTTTTTGTTCATGCTAACATGCTTTGCCTTGTGAAATTCAGTGACTCAGAGCTGAAAAGTTCCAGTGGATAAAACAGTTGATAAAAAGAGAATAAGTGTCGGACTTTACAGGCTTTCAGTTTTCATACACGGCACAAAAATCTATTCAAATAACAAAGACACTGGCAGGTTTGGCACAGTTACTCTCCTGAAGCAACCAAAAAATAAATAAATGCTGCTAGAGAGACAATGTGTTCGAGTTCAGAGGATTTTAGACAAACACTGTTGCTTTTATGTTTCAGGGGACAGGCTGTGTAAAAAACCTACAGTATATATAGTCAACGTTAGTCATGGTGAACTAGCACACGGCAGACTGAAATGACGAGAGGTTTCCCGCTGGAAGCAAAAGTAGCAGAAGGAGACAGACATTTTAAGAGACAGTCTGGTGAAAAGTTGTTGTCATTAACTCAACCATGACTTTTCCACCAAAAGATCATGTTAACATGTGGGTGAAGTGCCCAGTACAGAGAAGATCACGGCATAAAAAAAAAAGAAAAAAAAAGAAAAAAAAGCCCACCCACACAGGCAGCCATTTCTCCACCGGGACATTTATTAACTGCCTTACTTCATACGCTATCTTTGTTCTTAAGTGCCCGTGTGACCTACATGTGGGAAAAACAAGCCATCCCTCAAAGACCATATTTGCAGGGCCAAGCCCTTGAGTGCTCCTGTGGCAACCTGTGTTGCCAGTCTTAATCTCTCAGTCTCTTTTCTACTGTTGATAGGTGATGACTGTGTTACTGCACTGCTGCACAGGAGGAAACGAGAACAAGTGGTTTTCAATTAAGACTGCAAACTCTATTTCCGAATGTTATGCCCTCTGAGGGATCAAAATGTTGGTTTAGAGGAATTGCTTCATTGACTTATTGATTTTAACATTTGTTGACCAGGTGTAAATAGTTGAAACCTAATGCAGAGCCAGTATGTAACCAAGGCTCATGTGTAAAGATGTGACTACAGTTTGTTACCCAGCCATCTGTTTCTTCTTTGTTATGTGATGTTTTAGGTTGACAAAGTGCTGCTATATTCACAAAAAAAAAATCCATTAAGAATTAGATTGAGAATTAATTTGAGCACAGCATTTCTTTTGGATTTCATCACTGTATTTTTAAAAAACTCACAAACCTTTACATATTTTAGACTGAATAAAAATATGGATACATGCTACAAATGGGCCGACGCTATAAAAGGCAACTGTTCGAATGGTCTATGTAATGTGCATGACTACAAAAATAAACCTTGAACTGTATAAACAAACTGATGTCACATAACAAGGAAATATCTGTATAAATGTTATGTAAGTTGTTTGTTTGCAATAGGAGTGCATTAGCACAATATTGTACACACCTTCCTTGTATTGACTTGTATTGACTCCAATCTACATTTCAACTGTTTCAAAGCTTTGAAAAAATCTCTAAATCACTTGCTTTTTAAAAAAGAATCATCATCTTTTGTGTTACCTGGACTAAACTCATTTATGTGTCTGACATTTCTATGTATCCCATGTCTCCAATAAAACTGGAATTTCAATCAAAGAAGTTTAAAGCTGGTGCAAAAAGTTATGCATAAGACATGTAATAGTTATCAAATCATATCACTTTAAAAAAGGCTTGTTTCTGCTTATTGACTAGGAATAGAAATTGTGACATCAAACCTGCTTTCACACAAACATTACCGCTTCTGATGTACTTTTCGACACATTCAGACACCTTTTGTCACTGCAACCACCTCAGACAATAGTGACAAGATATTCTTATGTGTCCACCCCTTCCTGTCAGTCTCCTGTTACACATTTCAATCTTCACATTGCTCTTTCAGCTCTGTCTGTGAAGGCTACGTGGAGCCTCTCCCCCGAGAGAAGTCCCACTGTGACGAGGGGGCTACAGCCCAGGAATGTTTACATATAGGCTAGGCGAGCCCTGTAATGTAGGTCTGAGGCATGTGTTTACACGTCAGGCTTTGTTCAAAGTGTGTGTCATGTGTTGTTATTCCTCTCCTGTGAGCAGACACCAGCTAGACTATTTTCACTGTTTTACATCTCCATCCATGCCGCTGGGGTGACACCCTGATGTTATACTTGGGTGTGAGTGCAATGCAACAGATGGCAAGCTGAGGTGTAAATCAGGTAAAAGAGCAGGATGTTTGGGTCCCCTTTAAGATAAGACTTCCTTCTGAGTGTAAACCTGCGATCTGACCTTGTGACCTCCCCATCCCCCCTCTCACCCCCCCTTCTCTCTGTAAACCACACAGACCACTCAATCTCTTCAAATGGATGTGTTGTTTCACCTGCTGCTGACTCATGTTTCCTGTTCAAATGCATCCAGTATCATTGATGAAAAGCAAAAGTAGGCATTAATGCTCACTTCAGACACTTACAGAGAACGCCTGTGGTGCTTCATAATGCATTTACAGTTATCTAAACATATTCTACTGAGTGAACAGAAAAACAGAAAACCCCTGTTAATTGTAATCTAATCCAATTCAGTCCTTCAACAAATACAACTCTTTTTTGTATTTTCAAATAGGTAGTTTGGTGTCCACATTGTAAAATATTGCCTTTGGGTTCACCACAAGGCTTTAAAAATTATTGTTGACACTGTATCAGAGAGATGATGATTGAGCTCTGTGGTCATCTATGAAGCTGCACTTTGTTGTGTGGCAAAGAATTGCATTTTATGTCAAGATTAAAAAAAAAAAAAAAGATTCTTTGGATTTATAAATGACGTGGACAAAATTAAAAACAATTTACCACCACTAAAACAGTTGGCTACAGCTTCAAAAACGAGCAGTGGAGATGAGTGAAAACACAGTTAAGCAAGTGTTCACAAAGTAAGGAAGTTATGTTATTGTCACGTCGTTTCTGCTTTTCTGGTCTCTCCGCAAATGGTTTATTGGGACATTACAGCCTTTTTTCTTTTCTTTTCTTTTTTTACCTACATACTCTTGATACTATGATAGCCTAGTCCTTCTGCAGGTTTATTTCTTGCTTTTTTATATGCTCACTTTCCAGTGTTAGGTTGTTGTATCCGCTACATGATTTAAAGCCTATCAGTGCGCAGTCAAAACAATGCATCACTTTAATAAGTTTACAGAACAAACACTTGTTGAGTAAGATCTGTTGTGACTGTGTCACGGGCTGGCAACCACAAACTTACTTGCATCACTACTCCATGCTTTTGCAGCTACCATCTCATGGTAGACAGCGACTGCTCCGACCAGCAGAATCGCCCCGAACAGCAGATATTTGCCATTGCGCCGCAGTTTCTTCAAAGGGAAAAATGCCAAGATCATCTTGGCTCTAGGGCGAAACCTCGTCCCGGTTTGTTCATCGGTGGGGTCACCCGCTTTGTCATCAGGAGGGGACCGACCCTACCGTGAGCTAGTCAGCCTGCCACCCACCGCTCTCCCGGTGGATGCGCACTAACGGCGCCCTGGATATCCCCAGTGCGCACGGCCCCTGGTGGCTCCTCTCATCCCGCGAAAAATCCCACCATGACCTGGGAAAGCCGGTAATCTTCTCTAGGCACTCTCTATCATCTAAAAGTTTCAAGAGGTTTCCTCTTGCCCCTTATCGAAGGTTGCGCCCTGACCTCTCTGTGCTCCGGGTGCTCCCGTACTACACTGCAGTACAAACAACTGAGTGAAGAGTGAAATGTCACACCACCAGTCTCTCTTCAGTCCACACAACTTAATGAAGACAGACACAAGATGCCGCAGAGAGAGCGGCGCAGAGCCAGTTCTGCCTTCAAAGTAAAAGCATGATTCTGTCACAGGGGTGAAAAATAAATTATTGATGTGTGCACACTCGTGCACCCGTGATTACCTTTCTTCATTGTACTGTATATTACCGATAAAATGTCTAATTTTATACATATATTTTTATTTTGGAACACTGTTGCACACATTTCAACATGTTTGTCACAGTGTGGTTTATTTTGAAATCCAACACCGGAAACGCTCTTTTGTTTGTAGTTGCCTTGACACCACCACTCGCTGTGAGATTGAAGGGAGGAGTGAACAAGGGCAGCACTCACCACTCTTTCTTACCTTGAGATTTACCGTGAACAGGTGGTAACTAAATATACCAATACTTCCTTTAGTCATTTTTCCTTTCCGCATATACATGCAGCTTTAAATTAAAATTAAATATTAAAAATATAAAACTACAATAAGAATGTCATTGTTGATGCATTTTATGCCCTTTGTAAGTGTGTAAATCAACTTTATATATCCATTGTCAAGCCAAGAACTGCTGCTCTGGGTAGAAAAACAAAAAGATATTCCCAGGTGAGTGCTGTTCCCACACCTCCCCCCTTAATATAAACCTGAGTTACTTAATAGTGTCTAGATGGCAAGACAAAACAAAAAAACTAACTAAAGAACAAAGAAATGCACTCAACTAGCCTATAATAAATTAAATACTGCAAATGAATAATGAATAACTCATTCACTTTGTCATTCACCCGTCCACCTGTGGAGGACAAGCAGTGCTGGGCCATAATCACCCCGGAGAGAGATCACATCCGTAAGCTGACACCAGTGTCCCTGTGAGAGAGCAGGGGGATCAGATCAGTGCCTGTCTGTCCTCGGGAAAGGAAGACTGATCTCCTGACAACTGCAGGTGCACACTGGGACAAATAATGTACTTAAGCTCAGCAGTTAACCCATTATGCAGACACATTTAAAACTACATTAACCAAATGATAGCCTATGTACAATGTCTCATGCAAACTTGGTCATATTTTTAAAGGCTCTGGTTAGGCTATAAACTAATATCTAAAGCTAAAACTGTCTCTCAACTGTGACTACTAGTAACCTTATCTCACTTTGACCAATCTAAGCAAATGCTGTAAGACAACATGTATGAACAAATTCCACATCATGATATAAAAGCTCAGTTTAATCATTTACTCCTGTGAAATAAGAACTGTCTGCAGGTTCCTTTGTAGTACTTTGTCAAACCATATTTGACAGTTTCTCACAGTTCATATGAGAGAAGACACATTTTTTCCTCAACTCATTTGGTTTATAAGCAGACGTCAGGACAAAGGAAAAAAAAGAAAAAAAGGAGCTACTGTGTGGTGCCTGGAAACTGAGTAACAGGCGAACCAGACAAGAAAATCACACACACCCAAGTTGTAGCTATTGTTTATTATATCCTTCTGTCAGAGCAGAACAAACAGTTACCCTTCCAACAAACACAGACAAAGTCAACACACAACCCACAGCCCTGTTTTAAATTAGCCCCTTAATTCAGTTTCTGCTCCTCTCTACAGGTGGTGCTGACTAAAGTGAACAGGGCTCACATCTTCCTTTAGCGTAGTCTTAACAGTCTGAATCTGATGAGCCGTATATGCACACGTACATACATGTACTTTTTACAGTAAATTAAGACTAAGACTTAACTGTTTATACTTGAGTGTGTCCAGGAGAAGCTATTTAAGGTCCTTTCTACTATAGCTGCTTTAAAATGCACATATTCCAGTTAAGTAATTCATTGTATTCATCATTTTGAGAACAATACGGAAATCACAATCACAACACTGGGGAAAAAAAAGTACAAAGTCAAAAAGTCAAAGCAAAAGTGAACAGTCCTGTACCCTTGGGGCTCCATCTTTAGACTGAATGCGGAGCTCGAACTCCTACAGCTTTTCCAGGAAAATGTCTTATTATTCCACTTATCCACAGTGCTGCTACATACGTACTTTGGGACACAGGCACTCTAACATTCAGACACATTATATTTATGCACACAGCCATCACAACTCCAGGAATTGATCAGTAGGCCCATGAGAGGAGGGTTGGATGGAGAGCAAAAACGTGAGGAAGGGTAAAGGACGGAAGGTGGTGCAAGGTGAATGGTCTAGCCCTTGGCGGGTGAGGGTTTGAATTTCTGCACATAACACTTGGGATGCACTTTTTTTCCTACCCAAAACGCTGTGAAAACACATGCACAGTTCAAAGCTGTGGGTCGAAAAGGGTTCAGGGTGGGGTGGGGTTGTGGCACTCAATTCATTTATTAAAACCACGTCCCTCAGTGCCATCAGCTAGGGAAGCCCCCACCCGCTCGGCTAGCTGCCACAGCAAAGAGCCCAGACACAAAGAAAGCCAGCGAAGACGCGCCCAAAGTCAGTGCTCTCGTTTGACACGCTCATTCTCATACACACATTTCATGTACACACACACGCGCACGCACGCGCACGCACGCACGCACGCACGCACACACACACACACACACCTTAAACACAAACAGCTCAAGTTACAAAAGTCTGAAGTACAGATAAAACATAATGCTGTCACATCTTCATCTATGCTTTTGCTTCACTCCCAACTTCCTTTTCTCCGTTCTCAACCTCCATCTCATCATTGCCATTCTCCTTGCTCTCGCTCTTCACCTTTACTGCTTCTTTCTGTTCTCGATGAGAAAAAAACAAACCAGTTAGTCTCTTTGGCAATCTATAAACATGCTTATCCCGCCCTCTTGTGGCTGTTGTAGAAAAGTCAATCCATCACCTTTGAATCCCTCTCTGCAAACTTCTGAAACATGTTGGCGTAGATGCGTTTGTCCTTCTCATGCTGCTCCTTGATACGTTTCTGACAAAGAACCACCTGGCAGAATATAATGATGGAGAGGTCAGAAAACAGCCAAAAGATACAATTATGTAGATATTTATGAATTTTGACCAGATATCTGTATTCCATGACCACATTGATATGAGCTAAAGGATAATTAAGACTATTTCCAACCTGGGCTTTGTCAGAGGGTACAAACATTTTCCCACCCATCCTACTTCTTACTTACAACAGATTATTTGCCAAATGAGCTCATGTAAAATATTATTATTAGCATTATATTAAACTGCACCTGCAACTGGATCATATTCTGGATAGCGCTGGGTAGGCCTACTCCTGGAAAGATGGAGTCTGTGAAATATTTTTAATTGAATCAAACTATTTCTGATATATGCGGAGGCTATGTGGATCCTTGCCATGGACAATTTCCATATTTCATTTGAGATCCTCTCACCAAGTCCTCCCATTTTAATATGAGATGGCCTTATGCCAAATATGAGACATCTAGTAGTGGTGTATTTTCATTTTGGTAAAAGGTATTTCGCCTGCAGTGGTTTAGGGTGGCTCAAAAGTTAGGCATGATTTGCGGTAGCATGCGTAGCACTTTTTTGCAGAAATTTCAACTTTAGTATTAGGCTATTATTAGGCATATTGTTGCTTTTTAAATGACAAAGATGACATAGTTTTAAAACAAATTAAATACTCGTCTATTTTGCACTCGTTTTTTCGGGGATGCCATGCTGCAAAGCGGTTTCTGTCAGGTTAAGGCATAAAGCAGAGTGCTGCATCACACACACCTTTCAGATTACTATCTTTACAGATTATTTTGTCTGAAAGGTTTCAATAGCACAGTATTGCAATACTGCGGTTTTTGCAACATTTCTGCTACATCTTGAAGTAGGAGTCATGACTATGTAAAAAAAAAAAAGGGACATATACATTCATCTAAATGAACGTTTTTTAGTTTGTAATTAACTCAACCATCATGATGAAAATAAGACCCAGGTTGAAAAGCTGTTGAATTATCCTTTAACACACATGGCTCTATACCTGGCTCTTGGCAGCCTTGTTGGCAGGATAGAGCTGAACAACCCGCTGGAAGTCATCTCTTGCCCTATCAAACTCCTTCATACCAAACAGCGCTTCTCCCCTTCGGAACAAAGCCTTCTCACTGGATCCATCTAACTCTAGAGCCTGTAATTATGAACAGAGTATAATTAAAATGTTCTCAGTATTAAACCATATAAATAATCAGCACTCACAGTAAAAGAGTCTAGCCATATAACAGACATTTGTACAAACTATCATTAGTGTAACAAAAAATGAAAACACTTCTCCTTCCAATAAAAACAAGTCTCTAAATACTGAATTTGTCAAATGACCCAATTTGTCATTTGACAAATTGTTGTCAAATGAGTACAAATCAAAGATATTTGATACCTTATCACAATTTTCTAGGGCTTGGTTTGGCTCCTGTAGTTTAAGGAAGCACATTGCCAAGTTCAAATGTGCAGCCAACCGCAAAGCTTTTGCTTTCTTCTCATCCTCCTCCGACAAACCGGATTCATGTTCCAGCCATGACACGATCCTTTTGTACTGAACTGATGCCTGCTTGTATTTTCCCTCCTGAAAAACATGAAAAAGAATAAATCTGTCTATAAATCCTTTACAGCTATGTGCTTTACAAATACAGTACTCTGCTGCACACTGTACCTTAAAATACTGTGTTCCCTTCTCTTTGACAATGCCGCCCTGTTCCAGCTTCTCTACCGTGTTCATCTCCCATGATTCCTTGGCCTAAAGGAAACAAACATTCATCACTTCTCAGAGGGGGCGAAACATTGCTGAACACAACTGACATGTAATTGGCCAGCTTCAGTCAAATCATGTTTGCAACACGGTGCCAAGATGTGTGTACCTTCTCAAAAGCTGTCAGCTTGATCTTGTATTGCAGTGTTGCTCCACCAGGAATGTTATACTTTGCGTTTCCTGCATTGCCAAAGCCATATCTACGAATCAAAAACAGTTAATATTAGTT